TCCATATAGTCCTACTCAAGTATGAAATTAAAGCATTGAAAACACACACACACACACACCAAAACCCATAACTGAGACGATGCTGAAGGTCGAAAACACCACCGGCGCCGGCGACGCCGGCAACAATTGGCTTTCTTCTTCACGGCGCGACCGAGTTTGGATGTGCGACGCCTGCGATCTCGCTCCGGCGGCGTTTCTGTGCAAGGCCGACTCCGCCTCCCTCTGCGCCGCATGCGATTCCGATATCCACTCGGCCAACCCCCTCGCCCGCCGCCACATCCGCGTCCCGATTTCATCCGCCGCCGGTAATTTCTACGGCCACTCCGCTCCCGGATTATCAATGGGTGCGCCGGAGGCGCACTCGGAGAACGATTTCTTAACTCATCACGACGGAGAAGACGAAGATGAAGCAGCTTCGTGGCTATTGCTCAACCCCGTAAAAAACGAAGACAACCAAAGCAGCCACGACAACGCGCCGCCGTTGTTCGGCGGCGGCGGAGCAGCGGCGGCAGTGGACGCGTACTTGGACCTCGACGACTACAATTCATGTCAGAACAATCAGTTCAATGATCATCATCACTACAACAACAACATTAATCATCATCCGAAATTGCATTACAGCTCCGTTTCTCACGAGAAAATCGGCTACGGCGGTCAGGATAGCGTTGTCCCGATTCAGATCCAAGAACACTGTTTTCCGGTGGGATTGGATTACGAATCCTCCCACACTGGATACAGTTATCCTACTTCGATGTCGTCCCATAATAACGTAAGTTACGTTCTTCATTTACATACAGTTGAAAATACATACATATAGTGAAACCCTTATAATTTAATACAGTCGGACTAGGAAAATTCTATTAATTTAGCGAATTATTAAATTATCGAGTTAATAATTTAACATTTTTTCTCCGAGTCGGGACTGATAGAAACTATTATTTAATCGAGGTTATTAATTTATCAATGTTCTGCTGTATATTATATATATAATGGTGGCCTAATAATTAAATTATTGTTAAAAAAAAAAAACAGGTTTGTCTTTCACCAGTAATGGATGTGGGAGTAGTGCCGGAGTCAACAATGAGTGAAGGTTCGATAATATCCGGGCAGTACCAGAGAACACCGAAGGGGACAATCGATCTTTTCTCGGGGCCACTTATTCAGGCGGCGGGGGTGGCGCCGCCGCCAGCTCAGCAGCTGAGTCCGGTGGACAGAGAGGCGAGGGTGATGAGGTATAGAGAGAAGAAGAAGATGAGAAAGTTCGAGAAGACGATTAGGTACGCATCGAGGAAGGCTTACGCAGAGACTAGACCTCGGGTTAAAGGGAGGTTTGCAAAGAGATCAGTTTCTTGTGCAAGTTGAACAAAGTGGAGATATAGGTACTACATACAGTTAATACTTGTGTAATATTAGAAAGTGCCCATGGGCATTCTTGTAATTTCGTCGTTCTAATTTCTGGTTGAACAATGGATGGATAGTAGGAATTATGTTTGAATTTTAAATTTTTTTTTTCCTTACCAATTTTGCAACATAATTCGATTAATTGTAAAGCTACTATTGCTTATAGTGTTAACTTCTTGTACTTCTTGTTTTTAGTTTTTACAATTTTGGTATCCATCTTCTTGAATTATATGCTTATTTGATTTTAGTGTTTGTACTGCTTGAGATCCTACACCACGTCGATTTATAATGTAGATCTGACCATATACATACATGAGTGTGTTTTATTATATATATGTACGTCTATGATTTAAAATCACATGGTGTATTTCAAGTTTGTTGCGTACGTGCACAATTGGATATGATTGCTTGTGTGCGTGTGCGTGCGTGTGTGTTTTTTTTTTTGGTTGACTTTGAATTGATGTGTTGACTTTCAACTGATGTAATAAAATCAGCCCATATTAAATGGGCTACGATCCTATAAAAAAATTGAAGGCCCATAAAAAATGGACTTGGTGGCAATATTAATTCAATTTTTTTTTTAGTAAAATCTTGTATGTATAATTTTAGATCCCAATTATATTATGTATAATGCTGCAAATAAAAACTAATATTTAAAATATATTAATTAATGTTATTTCTCCTGGACCGGTTTAAAAAAACATTAAAAAAGTTAAAGAAAATTGACATTTTAATTTTTATTAATTAATTTATATATATATGCTTTGGTGAATGATTAGAGGCTAGTGGCATATTTAATAAGGGAGAGCGGCACATAGTGGTTTTGGTGGGGCAAACGCTTTTAAAAATAAAATAAATAAATAAATAAATAAATAAAATAATAATAATATTAATAATAATAATAAAAAGTAAAATTGGTTTAGAACAATCTAATAGTGCAATAGAACTAAATGATGCTTTAGTGCCTGCGCTACGATATGAATATTGTTCGTACCACTTTCATATTCTTATATCTTTAGAACTTTAGTTATTTTATTGATTTTTTTTTTTTGAAAAATTATTTTAACCTAATTATATAATTTTCATTTATTCTCGATTGCTAAATTAGGAAATCTAGTAAATGAAAACACTTGTGTAAGGAAATTAGGTAACAAATATATAATTATTATTAGGATAAATTACGGTCACCTCTTGAGGTAATTAATGTCAAATTACGAAAAACCCATCATGTTTGGGTAATTACATCCAACTCCTAAATTATGAATTTTCTTACACCTCCACCCCTGTTGTGTTAAATTTAGTAGAATTTTTTGGCTTATGTATAATATTCTTCAGTATGTACCCGTTTTACCCCATTCGAGCTCTATATTTTGAAACAACATGATCATGTAATGTGTCTATGGGCTTAAATATCAGATTGTGGTGCATCAGAAACTGCATTTTTGCACAAAACGAGTACAAACTAGAGAACATTCTACGAAATCTGGAAGATTATGTTGAATTTGGAATGTGTAAGAAGATTCATAGTTGATGGGTGATTGTAACTATCCAAACAGAAAGGGTTATTTCGTAAATTACCCTAATTATTATTTAAAAAAAACGGTAACAAGTTTGTGTTCGGTGAAATGAATTAATTATGTAAACAGCACAGCAAAAATAAATAGCCTCTAATTTAGCAGCTGTGCTGGTGTGTGTGTGTGTAATTTGTATGTATATGTATGTTCTCGATATACATACACAGCTAGCAAAAAAAAAATCATAGAAAATAGTTCTAGAGAGATAAAATCATATATGAACAAAGAGATGATTCCCAAAGTCGAAGGACCGGCCGCCGTCGCCGCCGCCCCAGCTGGCGGCGGTACGCGGTGGTGGAATTCGCCGTTTACGTTCATCTTCAGTGGTCTGGCTCTCATGTTGGGAATCATACCTGTTGTGTTAATGCTTTTGGCTTGTTCTTACATCCGATCGTCCGATCAATCGTCATTGAACGATGACTCGAACGAGAAGTTGGAGTTACGCGCTTTTCATCCGGAGATGGATCCCGGAGTTGTCGTGATTATGGCAGGAGAAAAGAACCCTACCCACCTCGCTAAACCCGTCGCCACCGCTGTTCGAACACAGAGTGATCGAGTTTAATTTGTTTCGTAATAATTTTTGTTTTTTTGCATTTAAATGTTTGATTAATCATTCGCAAATGTTTGATTAAATGATTATTGTCGATAATTAATGATTAGCAAGTCCGATATCTATCAACTCGTTGGACATGTCAAACTCGAGAAAACCCGCCCCGTTGGACCGGATGGATACGTCGATTATTATATTAGGGTTAGGTCTTCAAATAAATTAGTGATTTTTTTTTAATGGAGTAATTGATAAGAATGACACCTAATTACAAATTAGAAAGGATAATTAAAGATGACTTTGCTTCCTAATCATGTTTTAGTACTATTAGCCAACTGTATTTGACAAATATGAAAACAAGGAAAAGAAATTTAAATTAGACATCTTTCTTTAATTAATGGATTAGGCTGATTGAATTTGTGGCGTCTCGATACATACAAATGTATGTATCTATGTTTCATGTTTGTATATGGAAAATGAGTTGAGGTTGTTGAAAAAGGTTGTTTTAAAAAAGACAACTTAGTAAGTAAAAAGGTTAACTTTGGTATTTATTTATTGCAAATTAGTCCAAATGTGGCTGCAAATCTTCCAATCATAACCCTTTTTTTAGTGGAAGACAATTTGTTATTGGAATATCAATTTGAATTCTATAATTTAATTCCAATTTTTTAATTTTTATTTGGCTAATGGGGTCTTGGAGGAAGTTGACAGTAATTGACTTGAGTCACCTATTATTATGAAAAAAATAGAGTGCAATTTGACAAAAAGGGTCAAAAATATTTTCTTACTTTTGTTGACTTTGCATGTAACTACTATACCATTTATTTTGTTCTTTGTGATCATTTGTTTTAATGTATGAGAGAAATTGTAATGTTGGTCTAATTATGGATTTTTCTTGTGGTGGCTATTGAAATATATAAGTCTAACATTATTAGGGGAACAATGAATGGTACTACCACATGAAATTGTTGGTGGTGTTACAATTTGCAATCAAGAATTGGAATATGTCACAAGATCTAAGGAAGAAAGTTATTGACTAACTTTCCTGAATAAATCAGTTTGTTTCGCAATAAAATATGATACTGTTCAGGGGCTGATCCAAGCACTTTTGTAAGGAGGGGCGAACATTTTTAAAAATAATACGTCGAAATGTTGGATAGGCCGTTCAGAGGGACGCAACGCCCTCGAATTTTTAGATTTATTCACAAAAGAATAATAAAATCTGTATTTATGTTTTTAATTAAAAGTATAAATTTTAGTTGTAAAATATCTAAATTTACAAAAAGAAATAGAGAAGAAACAAAACTTGGGGGGTCAAAATCATATATTCTCTAAATATTATGTCAAAAAGTAATTTTAAAAAAAATTGATTTTATTTTTTGTACAAAGAGGAAACTGAATATTCGAAATTTGCAAAGGGTACGTCATGTTCCCTTTTAAATTAGCACGACTAAATTAGAAAATTTGATAGTCATAATCAATTTTTCTTTAATTACCATAAATTAAATTGGAAAAATTATATCCTTTATTAGTTTGATGAAAAGCTCCATCTAACTACTAAGCGCATTTAGCAACAACGCAATTAAAGTTAGTGCCGTGCAAATTAAGCAAGGAAACAAAATCAATAATTATTTGCCATATTTTATGTAATTAAACTTAATGGGCAGCAAAAGTCATATTTTCTAGTTTGATCAAGAGCCAAACTTTGAGTTATTATTATTATTATTAATTTTTTTTTAATTTGGGTGCATGCGTGTGAGAGAGATTCATACTTATACTCTTAAAATCGAATCAATAATAGAATTTGTTAGTCAACTGAATCACGAACGAACAAGCTTAACCTTGTTCAGCTAATACGCAACATTTGTTTTTTAGGATTCAACAAAATTTACATCATGTCCGATCGCGTTTTGATCTGGTTTAATTGTGATTGAATTGACGATTGTACCCTCCTAAATCTCGCGTGCACTGCAAGTGGGACATTTTGTAAAATAATTTAGTCCAGGGGTAAAGTGCGACAGCCACTATAGTTTAGGGGGCAAAGTGCCAATTACCCTAAAGAAAATGCGCAGGTTATGCAATATTGAAGAAAATAATGACGACATCCTCCACAATAGAGTAGGGGCACTTTAGTAATTTCGCATACACTCGCCACAGTAATTAAATTAATCTTCTCCTCTATAAATCAGCCACCCCCATCACCTCCCCCACACACACCATTTTTACACACAGTGATTGAGAAAAACACACACACACACTGAGTTAGAGAGAGAAAGTTAGAGAGAGAGAAATGAGGCACACACCTTCGCAGCCGCTGTCTTCCAGCCAAACATTCTGGCACTGGAATTCACCATTGCCTTACCTCTTTGCTGGATTAGGGCTCATGTTATTACTAATCGCCACTGCCCTAATCATCCTCGTTTGTTCCTACCGTAAACGGCCATCCAGCCAGGAAGAAGACGGCGGAGTGAAGGCGGCGCAGCCATCCGCATCCGCCGCCGTGGCCGACAACACGCCGAAGATTGTGGTGATCATGGCCGGAGATGACAACCCTACCCAACTCGCGATTCCCATCGAGTACTGTGTTTGCAAAGTCTGATCTTAATTATTATATGATCATGATTTTGAAACCAGGAAAAAATTTTGTCCGGTAGAAAAAAAATTTAGGAATATTAATTAGGTTAATGTTTTTGTTGTGGTAATAATAATTGGGGAGAGAGAGAGAGAGAGTTAATTACCTTTAAATCAGTTCTGCAGAATTACTGTAAATTGATTTATGAGTGTAAGTAGAATTAAATATCAGTTTTTAATTAATATGTGTATTAATTATCTTTATCATTTTAGCTGACATCTTGTTTGAAATTATTATATATTAAAGCAAATATCACTAATTATTATTTATGTCTATATATATATATGTGTCTATTTTATCAGGGGTTTTCTGCTAATTTCACTATCAAATTGTCGAAAGAATATGATTCCCACACACCATCACTATTCACTAGGGCACAAAGTGGAAAAGGATATTAATTATTATTTATTTAAAGAAAAAATTAGGTGTGTAAATGAATATGAATATTACATCACATTGAGTTAAGACAGTGGATTAATATCTTGTTAATCATCATGGGTTCAGATGGACAAATTAGACACATTAAATTCACATTCATCAATCATATCATATCATAGTGTACGATTAATTGTAAATTGTTTGCAAATTACATTGGATTAAAACAAAAAAGAAAATAAAATAAGATATATATAATTGAATATTGATAGTGGGAATTAAGAATTGATAAATTAACGTTGTATATTGATGGCGAAACTTCATACTTTAATTCATGGGGGTTTACGTATGCAGAGTGTACACCGTGGGATGCGGCGGCTCGACCACGCAAACAACTAATCATCACTACTTTGGATAATTTTTTATTTTTCTTTTTTATTTTTAAATAGAAAATAAAAAATTAAAAAGGAAAAAAGAATGGTGGCTCTGTTTTTGCTTTCAGATACTGTGAATAATGGGAGACAATTGTGCTGCATAAACGGCACTCTCTCTCTCTCTCTCTCTCTCTCTCTCTCTCTGCATATATGTATATGGATTATATCGACACTCCAGAGAGAGAGAGAGAAAGGAGAGAGAATCTAGATAGGATATTCCGGGTCGCATATTGATTCAGAGAGTCAACCTTTCCAGCCAATCATCATTAATACCAGCGGATTTTCTATTTTTTTTTATAATTTATATTACAATATTATCATATTTTTTGCACATTAGAAGCATGACAAAATTACATTTCATCCAGGGGCGGACCCAAGGCTTCTGTTGGGGGGGCACCCGCCCCTGCAGAAAAAAAAAATTTTACCTTTTTTTTTTTATTTTTTTAATATTTTGGCTTATTTATGTATTAATTTTTACACTTTAGCCCCCCAAAGTTAAAATTTTATACCATTTAATCCCAAAACTTTTTTTTCGCCCCCCCACCCAAAACCCCCTGGGTCCGCCCCTGATTTCATCAATCATTTAAAAATATTTTTAGTGGATTTAAAAACTATTAAATTATCATGTGACCTTTAAAAATCCAGTTATATATATAATTTAAAAATATGAAATTCACACGATGCTTATGGTCGAAACATATGAATTTAACGAAAGTATAGCAATGTTATAGCAAACAACAATTTTTTTCTTATCGATCCATTCGGATGTTTGTAACGTGATGCTTACGAGTAGATCGCAAAAAAAGAAGAAAAAAAAAAGAAAGAAAAGAGATAAATGTTCCATTAAAGTGTGTAATGTCATCATAATACATTTATTTTTATTTACTTTTAATTAATAATACGAAGAAGATGCTTTCCTCGTCACGAAAAAAAACCCGAATAACCCAATCGAATCTAATAGCATAAAAAAATAAATGTAAGTGGACGCCGCGGACAGAAGCTGCAAAAAGGTGACGCTACATTTGCTAAGAATCATTCATTACACATATAATAAACAAAAGTCACCGATTCTCGTGCTTTTGTCACTAATCCGGAAAAGGCGCACCAACGTTTTCTTTTTTAGACATATCCATCGAATATTCCGTTTGTACTTCACACCACTCTGTTAATCAAGGGTATTTCTGTCTTTTACTTATTTTTCAACCAATAATATCATTTTCATACAGATTAAAAAATAAATAAGCAGAAATCAAAATCCCAATATCATCAATCAATAAACACAAGTACAACACCAAAAAGCACAAAGGTGCCCTTTGCAAATTACAGCACTTCCAAAATAAAAATAAAAATAAAAATAAATAATAACAATTCTTGCTTCAAATACTACTACAATCGTTCCGATCTCGAAAATCAAAAGCCGAAAAAAAACGACATCCAACACTCGATGCCCATAATTTATTTTTACGAAAATACCCTCAAAAAACTAATCATCAATCAATTCTTTTTCGCAAGCTTAAACCACTCGGTATGGTAAGATCCAGGAATATCAACCCTTTCATAAGTATGAGCACCAAAATAGTCTCTCTGAGCCTGCACCAAATTAGCAGGCAATCTCTCCCTTCTGTACGTATCGAAATAAGCAAGACTAGCAGACATACCTGGTGTACTAATACCCGAGTTGATCGCAAGGCAAACAACTCTCCTCCAAGCGGATTGCCTCTCGATAATCTCCTTTGCGAATTCCGGGTCCACCAAAAGATTCGCCAGGTCAGAATTTCTATCGTATGCTTGCTTGATTCGATCCAAGAAAATCGCACGAATAATACAACCTCCCTTCCAAATCCTAGCCAGCTCACCCAACTCCAAACCCCACCCCTTTTCTTCGCTCTTCGCGCGAATCAGATTCATTCCTTGAGCGTAACTGCATATTTTTGAAGCGTACAGAGCTTTCCTCACATCGTCGATCAGTTGTTCCTTGTCAACCACCACCTCATCGCTCAGAATATCGCCGAACACTTTCGCAGCTTCGGTTCGTTCATCCTTCAAACCACTCAAGAATCTTGAATCTAAAGATGCTTCGATGGTGGGGGCCGCAACTGACAGCTCAGCAGCTTGCTGAACAGTCCATTTACCAGTACCCTTCATCCCAGTTTTGTCCAAGACCTTGTCAACTAAATACCCATCCGCCTTGTCATCCTTAATTCCGAAAATATCAGCAGTTATTTCAATCAAGAAGCTTTGAAGCTCCCCTTTGTTCCATTCTGAGAAGACGTTTTTTAGCTCCTCGTTCGATAATTTCCCAACTGATTTCAGCACATCGTACGCCTCGGCTATTAGCTGCATGTCACCGTATTCGATTCCGTTGTGAATCATCTTGACGAAGTTTCCGGAACCTCCTTTTCCGATGTAGGTCACACATGGCCCACTATCCGGAACTTGTGCTGCTACTTTGAGAACAATGTCTTCGATGTATTTGTAGGCCTCAAGGGAGCCACCTGGCATCATGGAGGGCCCGTTTCGAGCACCCTCTTCACCGCCAGAAACTCCCATGCCGAGGTAGAGAAGACCCAATTCAGCCATGGCTTTCTCCCTTCTCTCGGTGTTTTCGTACCACTCGTTTCCACCATCGATGATGCAATCACCTTTCTCCAAGTAGGCGGAGAGAGTTTTGATGGTCTGGTCCACGGGGGATCCTGCCTTTACGAGCATGATTATCACACGGGGTTTTTGGATTGACTGGACGAATGATTCGGGGTCGTGGAAGCCAAAGAGAGGAAGGTTTCCTTCCAATTTTGCCCTTTCAACAGTCTCGTCGACTTTGGAGGTGGTTCGGTTGTAAACGGAAATTGGGAAGCCTTTCTCAGCAATGTTGAGGGCTAGGTTTTGGCCCATTACAGCTAGGCCAGCAAGACCTATTCTGTTCAGTTTTGGGGATTGCTCAGCCATCTTGTATCCTGGCAAAAGATAAAATTCAGAGCCGAAGACAAAATTTGACCACAAAACTAGTAAATAGAGAAACATACATGAATTTCCTAGCAGTCAAGAAAATACCAGGAATTCACCGGCAAAAGTTGAATGCACAACTTGAATTTGCTTTAAAGAAACATGAAGCGAACGAAAATCTAGATCCATAAATCATAATTCGTCGATAACGGCAAAATAAACAAGGGACAGGCAAATAAAAATGTTTGTCACTATTTACCCTTTGAAAAACTCAGATCAGACATGATCCAACCACCATGTGAACTGTTTGCACGATTACTCATTTGCCAAATGACATGATGGTAAAAAAAAAAAAAAACAAGAAGTTACAATCCGTACACATACATCATTCTTGTAATTAATCTTAAACGAGATCTCGTATATTGCTGAACAACTATAACAATAGAGAAGAAACAAACAATTGCCATAAAATTGAGTTTAATAGGAACAAATCTCTATCTTATATGAGTTATAGGTTTAATCGAGACTGCTATTTGACTTGATCGATTCCTAGATCAGCCATTTTCTAAGGCAAAGTTCATCACGAGAGAATCCAAACAAGCATGACAGTGTTATTAGCTGAAACAATTTGCAGAACTACAATAACTTCAGTTAAATCCAATCAATTTCGAAAAAGGATTCCATAAATTTCAAACAAAATCAGCAAAGATCGCAGCTTTTCAAATTAACCCACGTCTAAATCTACACCACATAACGATCCAAAAAGAGGCAATTCGATAAATCAGAAGCAAACAAAATCGGAAAAGAATTACGAAACCCTAACCTCGAGTAAAATTCGAATTGCAATTGAGAAAACCAGAGATCGCTCAAACCCAGCACGGCAGAGATCTGTAAATATACGATCCAAAATTAGGGCGATTATTGAGGAAAAGTGAATCGAGAAATATTTATTTAATTTATTTATATTTATAAATAATATGGAGTACACAAATCTTGAAAGAGTTTCACTGCAACTCAAACGCGGGTCAAATTGTCCAACTACTACTCTTCACACTGATATTTGTGTTCCTTGATCGTGGATGGTTGTTGGCTGCAGTTGGTGGGAGGCGATATTATTTTATTTTTTTACAATTATTATTGAATATTGTTTAATACTAAAATAATTACACTCCGAACCAATCAAAATTCTACACGTGGATTAGCATATAGCTGTTGATTTCATGCTTTCCTGGTTGAAAATTTGGCATGCTACTGGCCGAAAAAGTTTGTTGGTGATGATATCACTAAAACTTGTCCCTACTTTTTTCATATTTTAATTTAATTGGATATTAAAGTCTCGTTTAGTTGTCAATATAAGAATAAATAATCTAAGGGCATGTCCTGTCGATGGGGGTGGCTCTCCCGGAGCTCCCCTCCCTCTCCCCCTACCTATTTCTCGATCAACCTTCTTCCATTTTTTCCATCACCACTCTCACCATATAATAATAATAATAATAATAATAATAATAATAATAATAATAACTATGTTGTGCTATTATTAGGTTATTAACTCTATTGTCACTTTTTAAAACTATTATTTGTAATATAATAACATGTAATGTTAATATAATTAATAGAATGTTTGCAATAAAATTACTATTTTAAATTAAAAAGATCGAATTAGATAAAAAGAAAACAGAAAACTAAAACAAAATAAAAGAAACCGATAAAAAAAAGAAAGAGAAAAAAAAAAAAGAGAAAACTAAAATAAAATAATTAAAAAATAAGAAATGACAAATAAATAAAGAAAAGAAAGGAACAAAAAAAATAAAAAAAAAGGTTAATATGCTAAGAGTCCCTTAAATGAAACCTAATTTGAACTAAATGACAATCTTAAATTCAATCTTTTAATTAAATCATTATTTTGAAATAATATTTGATCCACATCCCTAATTTTTATTTTATCCCTAGTTTGCCCTTATACCCTAAATATAATATCCCACGTTTATTCAACTAATCAGATTTATTTTTGTTTTCTCTCTCGCATCTCGCCTCTCCCTCTCCTTCTCCCTCTCAGATTTTTTTTCGGTTCTCCCTCTCAGATTATTTCTTGGTTTTCTATCTCGCCTCTCTCTCTGTCTCGCCTCTTCTTCTCCTTTCTCTCAGATTTTTTTTTTGTTTTTTATGCTACTTCTCCGTCTCGCCTCTTCTCCCTCTCCCGCTCGCCTCTGTCTCTTCCTCTGCCTCTCCCTCTTGCTCTATCTATCTCTCTCTCGCTCTATCTATCTCTCTCTCGCTCACTCAATTATGGTGGTTGTGGTGGGTGGCGGTCGGAGACAGATCTGCAAATTGCAGCTGTGATACATGGCTCATGACGGTTGAGAGCGGCAGCGGTTGTCGTGTATTAGAGCGGATGGTTATGGTGGTAGATGGCCATTGGAGACGGTGGTGTGAGGTTAGTATACGGTGGGAGGTGGTTGCATCTAGGCCTCTTTGATGGTGCTAGGGTTTTGGTTGGCGGCTAGGGTTTGGTGGATTGAAGTTGGCGGCGGCGGTGGCTGCGAATTTGTTGACGGCTAGGGTTCAACGATGGCTGAGAGTTGTTTTTGCGGCTAGGGTTTGTAACAGTAGACCATAGTAACCTATAGTACACCGTAGTATACTATTGCACAAGTATTCTATTGTAACCCGTAGTACGCTACACTACACCGTAGTATACTACAGTATTAACAACAAATAAAATCAAAAAAAATATCAAAATATTTAAATTGAATTTAAAAAAAATATATATATATATATTTTTCGTAATCTTCAATATTATGAAGAGAAAAAATAAAATTTTTTAATTGTTTAAAAATTGCTAAGATGGAGAAATAGAAAGAAAAATAAAATTAAACGTGTTTTGTATAAAAAAATATTGGTTGGAAAAATAAAAATATATTTAATGCACGAGGGCATTTTTGGAATGAATTTTATGAAGGATGTGTAGCAAATGTTTAGTTAAGGTTGTCATTTAGTTCTAATAATGTTTGTCACTAGGGACCTATATCTTAAGGCCCCTAAAAAAAATAAAAAAAAAAAGGGGCCTACGTGGAAAGAGAAGGAAAAAAAGGGAGAAAAAAACAAAAAACAAAAGGACAAAACGTTAATGTCACGGGAAGGAGGGGCGCCTGAGTCGTCAGAGCTTATGCCTGGGTTCATTTCACCCCAGAGCCCCATCCCCATCCCTCTATCTACTAAACACACCAGCCCTGCCCACCTCCACCCTCCCTCTATCGAGAGGAGATGCTCTAATGAAACTCAATTACATAATTGGTCGACCTGGCAAGTTATTGGGTATCGATATAAAACATTAAATAAAGTTCAATTATATAGTTAACAATGATTAATATCGCCAACCAAACGAGGCATAAGAAGATATCCGATGTAACATTTTTATCTGAATCTCCACTTATGCACCCATGAATGATTGACCATCCATAGGACCATCTAATTCATTGCATTTTTCATCCAGCCTAAATTCAAATCAGATCTACATTTGGGAAAACAAAAAAAAATGGAAAATTCGGACCAAGTGATGAGAGTCGATCATTCGCATACACAACACTCAATTCCAAACTCGAGAAAAAACTTCTTTTTTTCCTTGAAAGTGAAAACATGTAATAAAATAATCAGACAGGCTCGGAGAAAAAAAAAAAAAAAAAAACTTCACTTGAGCGGACTGATCTGCGCCAGATGTTTGTTTACGACGTGATTGCGAAGGGAGTGGTCATTTTACTTGAGTAGCGTTCCTCGATTTCCATAAGGTGCAATCATAATCCCGAGTCCTGACCGTTCATGAACGAAAATATTTCAGTGAGCAAATTTTACAAAGCCAAGGTAATAAAGAACCGTTAAACTTGACTTGTCCTCAAGCTGAACTTACGAAAAAGCAGAACACAGAACCAAGAAGATGATAAACGATAATTGATAAAGCATTAAGCTTACCAAGTTCTGCCAAGTTAAGCCCTACGATTCAACTTCTTGCAGATTCGAGTTGCCTGAGCACAGGTGTATACGAAGGGGCAACAAAAAAAAAAGCATCAAAATCAAATTGTATCAACTACTAAGGTTTACCACCCGTAAAAGTTGCTAAGGCATTATCGGAATATTTTTTTTTTTGCATAATGATAATGGTATAAACTTGGGTACTCAAACATGGGTTTGGATTCTCTCCTCGAATACTCGACTATAAGCCCCATTACAAGATAATGCAAACTCTCGGGAGTCGATTTTGATGCAATCGAGCTGGTTGTGTCCCATTCTTCTTGGCTTTCAAAAGCAGCTCGTTGACACCAAAACTCGTATCCGTCAAAATAAATTTTTATTAATATACTAGGGGCCTCGTTAAAACCTTGTGTTGCCTAACAAGGAAAGAGCACCGTATCCTCTTATTAACGACGGAGCGTACAAATTCATAAACCTAACAAATTTGACTATATCCTTAACCTATGCTTCAAATTACTTCACCACACACACACATCAAATTGCCTATCACATTCAAACAGTGCAGTGCCGTAAATTGGCTGCAATCGACGGTCAACGAATTTTTTTTAGCCAAATCACCAAACATCTTAAGCTGATGCTTACATATCTCGAGCTTGAACTTCATCGAATTCGAATATGCATTCACTAAAAGACAATATTATTGTTTGCCTGGTTATATATCAAATCTAACCTAGTCTAACTTTCATTCAGTTTTTTTTTTTCTTCAATTTTATATCAGCAAGCAATGTGCGCTAATTCTATTCATCTCCTACATGAACACAGAAGAGAGATCCATACACACACACACAAAATAAGAAAAATAAAAGAAGAAGAAATCTGTGTGGTATTAGCAAAATTCAGTGTGGTATTAGCAAAATTCTCAAAGTGAACAAACATGAAAGTGATCTATCACGATTTCGAAAGAGAAATTACCTCATAGAGATGCATACAGCTACAGAAGCGGAAGCATGGCGGAAACAAAAATCCGGCAGATGATATCATTACGAATCCCTAGCCCGACCCGACCCGACCCGGATCGTACTGCCATCACAGATCACCTCAAAACTACTCTGAAATTATTAATTACAGTACGGGAGGATGAATTGTGAAACTATGATGAGTAGAGGAGGATGAAAGATCCGGGGACCCGGGTTGTAGGAAATGGATCAAGGTTTCCAGAGTCCGAATTTACCTATATTACCCTTGAGCTTTATTTATTTCTAATTTCCTCCCCTATCTTCTTCGTATTTCTCTTTGGTCCGTTTTATTTTTGTATTATTAAACAAATTGAGGAATTTATTTAATGTTATTATTATTATTATTTTTAATATTTACAAAAGAATGTTGAGGATCTGTCCTAAAGTGCAAAATCAGTGTTAAGCCTTGACACACAATCTAAATTTACAGGTGATGTTTTAATGCAATGTCGAAATTTAAGAAAACGAACATTTAAAACAAGAATTTTACGCAATTCGGATCAAGAATAATTTATGCATTCATGGGAGCAATGTCTTCCGTTTATTTACAAACAAGGAAGTCTTTAATAGTTTTATCGTACATAAATGATAAGAAAACACTAATCACTTCAACAAACTGTGTATTCTAGAGATTTATTCAAGAGAATTTATATGTATAATTCTAAACACTTTATAACGCATCTAAAAGAATCGAATCATCGACCTCCGATTATATGTTAGGCGTTTACATTCCATTCATGACTAGAGTACATTTAAATATTTGCACATTCAAACAAAAATATCTTTAGTAAATTCAAGTACTATACATAAAATATAACAATTCTTTCATCTCTTTAAATTCGTTTTTTTTTTTTTTTTTTTTTTATAAATTAGATCTAAAATGTATACTAAATATTAAATTTATAGGTAGGCAAAAATTAAAATTGAAACGTCCTACCGATAAATTACCTTATTTTATTTTAGAAAGAATAACACGAACATTGTTGTAGGGTGAAAAACGTCTACTTATAAAAGTATTGGGGCTCAAATCACAATGTGGAGAGAGTTGAGGGAGTATATTTGGCACAAAAAAGATATAAATAAAGTAAACAAATTACAAACAGCCTAAGCGCAATTAGCGTGTTCATCTAACGCGCCAAACTAATTAAACCCGGGAAATTTTCTTATGCTGAAAGATGTATGCAGAACTTGAATTATTTCAAACGGCGATCAACGAATCAGTATTCATTCGGATTGTTCGGAATTTATTTGCGAGAGAATCAACACGGGTCACAATTTCCGGATCAAAAACCCTAACCCGGGTGAGTTTGTTTCTGTTCTTCTCGGTGCCCTTTTCCCCCTTTCATGGAAATAATATATGATAATGATCTGTAATTTTGTCATTGTTAACATTACCACTGTTGCTTTTTTTTGGAAGGTTTTGCAAATTAATGAAAATTTATATCTGCTCGCCTAAAAAATCAAATTAGTGTACACTTGCTCAACTGTTAATCAGTTCTTCAAAGCAGATAAGGATTTTTATTTTTTTTCCTTTTTTGAAAAAGTTAGTAGTGAAGTAAATCGGCATGAGATTTGTAAAACTTCGATTGAGGAGAAAAATGTTTGGAAAACTAGGGGAATGCAGCTCGTCTGATGTACATTTGGTGCGAATATCGTGATTATGCGTATTGGAATCGTATTATATACTTGTTTCTACGTCGTAGCTTCCTTAGAATGTCATGTTAGAAGGTTATATTCCAGTGATTTGTTTATCTTTCCCACTTAAATTTGATGGGATGGGGAAATAATGTAATAATCGGAGTTACTATGTTTAATGCTAGTTTCGCAATGACTAAAAACGGAATTACATTGACGTATTATACCAAAATTTGCAGGCAACAGATTGCAGAGGAAATAATCAGTAAATAATATGGACTATATTTGAAGAAACAAATGCAACCGAGTCAAATATTATCATGGTCTTTTTTAGGAGGAGGTGAAAATCGAAAATGGTCGACCAACGAAAAACAGTGTTCCCCAATTGTCGATTGACGAGAAACTCGAACCAATTGAAGTGGTCCCCTAATTCCAGAGAACATGTTTTTAGCCAAAACTAGTTTGAATGCTCAAAAAGTTCGATTGGTAAGCCATGTGTTTGATGTTTTGCTTTTCCTTCTTTTCCTAAACAAATGACACTGAAGTTCGTCTCGAAAGAACTATTACTTTCTAGTTGAGGAAATATTTGCATTGAGTTCGAAGACTTTTCGTCTCCTTCTGTATTTGACTGCGTTTTAAAGTACTTTTTTTCCCTTCTAATTTAGGCAATAGTCACCTGATTTGAAAGTGCTCGAACCGAATATATTGTTACAGGTTACTCTTATGTATGAAGGACATGTGATAGTGCTTGGTTGTGTGAAGTCACTGTATTTATTCAATGATGTTTAAATGCACGTCATCTTTTATATCGTAAATAGATAATAATTGGACTCCGTTTATTATTGATGAAATAGCAGCAATGGACTGAAGAGATTAAGAGACGACAAAAACCCATCCTCGATTAATACAGGACAAGCTAATAGAGTAATTTATTTAATTTTAGGCCAAATTATTGCAGGGGTCGTCGTCCAGCTCTCTCAGAATAGGATAAGGACTATTGAGCTGCATACCGGTGAGCATTTGACGAAGCTCGGAAGCTTCTTCTTTGAGCTGAGCATTTTCCTGGACGACTCGATCGTGGCGCTCCGAGAAATGGTTCAGTTTGTCTACGAGTTGGTGGTTCTCGTTCCTTAGCCAGACGACCTGCGACCAGAGCTCGTCCAAGTGCTTTTGCTTTCGCATGCGCGACCTCCGCGCGGATTCTCGGTTCGAAATCATTCTTCTCTGCTTCCTCTCGTTGATTATGCTCAGCTGTTGTTCATCTGCTTCGTCGGAAGTTGAATTACTGCTTAGTTGTGGATTGAATTCTTGAAATTGTGGGGTGGTGTGGGGTTGATATAAAGGGTTAGGGAATCTGCTGAATTGATACGGCGGTGCGATGTTAGTATTCAAGCTGAAATGGGTAGGGAATTGTGTCGGGTTTGAAAGACATAGATAATGGAGCTCACTGACATCACTTGGTTGCATTGTTTTTTTAATTAGTAGTGAAAGAGATTTGCAGAGAGGAGATTTGTTTGAAGACGAAGGGGAATTAGTGGGAAGGGGGTGAATTTATAGGATGATAAAAAAATCAGGTGTAGGGCCCACCAAAAACTTATGAAATTAGAGTACAGTAGAGTTCCTTAAAGATTAGACTGGAGTACTGTGGTGCCAAACCTGTTTATGTGTGTGTGTGTATGTAGTTTTGGGAATGTGCACTCGAAGAATATAATGAGTAAGTCTACGCATCTACGCGTTAGTTGTGTGTATGATAGAACGGTTGCATGTTACTTGATTGTCGTCGACCAATCTAGGCAATCCATATAAACTGTACTAATAGTTATTAGTTGTGTATTGGATAATCTTGTTGAAATGACAAAAAATGCTCTCTCTCTCTCTCTCTCTCTCTCTCTCTCTCTCTCTCTCTCTCTCTCTCTCTCTCTCTCTCTCTCTCTCTCTCTCTCTCTCTCTCTCTCTCTCTCTCTCTGACACATACACACACTCAGAGAGAGAGAGAGAGAGACTATTATGGGGGTATAATAATTGATCTTGACGAAAGTTGTGGAAGGAGAAGGGCCAGGAGGAAAATGGGATGAAAAGTCAATCTAAAAAAATGGTGTTAATTGTCCGCCAAAGTAAGATATTTTATACTATATTAGCCCGCAATAGTGAACGACGTAAATTAATAGGTAAAAAACCAGGTAGTAGATTGGGGGTGATAATTCCTTTTTTAAAAGTGGAAAACTTGCACAAATGAAACTAGTGACTCAGTTACCACTTTTGCAGGGCAATCTTTAAATAAACCCTAGATACGTTGTATTCTTTCTTTCGTTCATATTTTAATATCATTAACTCAGAACACTGCCTGAGAGATTGCTGATGGCACGAGTGTCGTGCTTTGCCAGAAAGGGATGTTTTAGACGTAATATTCATAATTTAATCGCACGTTACTGATTAGTGGTTAACCTCATTATGTTGGCATTTTTATTTATATGAGGTCAATTTAACTGCCTGCATTTAGAGGTACACAAAGAATGTGATTAGTTATCAACTAGTTAATATTGACTTTTTATTGCATCATATTTAGATCTAGACGACTTTTATAAAATCCCGGGGTGAATTTTTTTAACCGCAAAAACTTGCCCAATTTTTACGCAGTTTGAAAAAATCACGCACGGTTGGATAAGGAAATGGAAAAGGAAGTTTGCAATGCAACAAGAAGAAGAAATTCCTTTCGAGGTAAGTAATGCTCTCTCGTCGATATTGGGGTCGGGTTGAGTGAGTGCCTTATTTATTATAGTCAACAATATTATCAGAAGAAATTTGACTCCTCTTTCTTTTCTTGTCTCCATTTTCTTATTTTTGGCTCTTCCTCGACCCCATTTTATTTCCTAATGGAAGTCTTTTTTTCGGGTATTGGATATTGAAAGACTTAAGATGATTAATATAGTTGAATACGTACATCACCCCCACCTTTTCGCCTACTGTACTTGTTCTATTACATACTTTTCCGAAGTGCCATTTATCCACCACCACTGTCGTTTAGGGTTGCACGTTTTCGTTAAATTATTGCTTACGTATATTTCTATAATATCAGGATCGAGATATCCGTTTCTAGCTTTGATTTTAGTTACTCTAGCGAGTTATCTTAACATTAAAGAACAAATCCCCACGAATTCGTTGCCTTTGTTAAAGTTTCTTCGTAGGCTAATAAACAGGGTACCCGTCATTTCATTTGCTTTTTCTTCCCCGTTAATTATTATATTAGTGTTGTCTCGCGATAATAAAGTCGAAACTTGTGCATATCATAGAACAGGAGTTGATTAGGTATTAATCTTAGCTAAGCAATCCACTAAAAGTAATTAACTATACCAACTATACACATTTAGCCGATTAAAAATAGAAAGATTTGGGAGACGTAAGATTTTCTTTTCTTCTACCTATCCTCCGAACACGAAAACTAAAGAGGGGGTGGAAAAGAAAAAAAAAGATCAGTGCCCTTTGATGTGAAAGAAATGATTAAATACATAGTACCCACTTAAGGCACACTCCCCTGTCAGCATATCTTATCTATCTTTCATAAATCCTGCTTGTATCCCATTTTTCTTTTTCTTTTTTTTACATTATGACCTCTAAATCGCCTTCCGTTTTTTTTTTTCGTTTAAATCCAGAAATATATTAAGTGTAGGACCCGGGAATCAATTATATAGGGACAGTGCCCTAAACCAACGGTTATGGTATTGCACGGAGGGGTGCTGGATTTAACATCTCCACTGGCCCTTTTTAGCATCAAGAAAGCAAAAGGTTTAACCAACTTCCCCCCTAATTGGCTCTGCGTCACTTTAACCACATGTGGTGACCATACGTAACACACCTTTGGTCGTTCAGTTACATAAATCGAGATATAGGGTAAAAAGTTAGATGCGAAAGACGAAAAAAAACGAATGATGTTTGTATAGTGTTTTTTCCTTTCGATACGACTTTTTAGAGATGAATAAACATATAAATCTTTCTTGTGTATTGATTGATAGGGCTAACACCCTTTATTTTTTGTTTCAGATTTTCCGAGGCTCTCGATTTTTGCGGTACTGTGATTCGTTACCGTATGCATGGCAAGCCATTTATGCACCCCACTCAAATCAACCTATGCAAAAGTTTCCCTTTCAGGCTAGTGAAGGCAAATCATTTCCATACGACAATCATGTGTTGAGCCCAATCAGGTTTTTGTCTGAACTCTTCTTAGTGTGCTCACATTGTTACTTTTTACATTCACTGTGTGTGTGTGTGTGTGTGTGTGTGTGTGATAAGGTCATGAGATTGGTGGTTTAAGATAGGATAAGTTTATCATTGAGCCTAAGCTTTCTTGAAATATATATTATAAACTTTTTTTTTCACACTTTTTTCAACCAAAAATTAGTATAAAAGGACCAATTTTTTTCTCCCAATAAAAAGTGTAACGCTAATTAATTATTAATAATAATTGTTTTGCCAATTTGGTGCAATAATGAGGATTGTATAATACTATCATAGGTGGGTGCTGCATTTTTTTTGAATAATTAGTAACAATGTGCTTACGTAGTTGGTATGAGTTCTTGATCCCACTAACCAATGTGGATAGAAAAAGGTGTTTGTTTCTTAATAGAAAATGGGGCACTCCTTTTCTTCACCAAATTTGTTGTTAACAAAACATTTTGGTGCTATTTAAATTTTTTTTTTTTTTTTTTACTGTTTACCTCCAATGCGTGTCGTGCCATGATAGAATGTTTTCTTTTAGGGGTAAGTCGTAATTTATTTATCAGTTTATATTTTACAGTACACGTGTTTAGATCCATTTCATTCATGGTCGGTCGAAGGCATAGGCGGGAGAGGAATCTTGCGAAATATGGATTTTTAGGGGCTTCGAATTTTTCGGTAATATTTAAAATTCAAATAAAATCAATTTATTTAATTAACCCAAATGAATTTCCCAAAAGGAACCTAATCAAATATTACTTTCTAATCCAAAAAAATGCGTAAAGTGAAGAATATGAATCGAACTCATTCGTCCTAAATTTTAAATACTTTTGTGTGAAAACATGTACGAAATTTGAAGAACTAAATATTCTATTTAAATTTAATCCAAAAAGAAAAGGAAAATATTAAAATTAAAATATTGGGGATGAAAAATGATGAAAATCACAAGGGCCTAGGATACTAAAATTGAATAGGCTTGAGAAGCAAAGTGATATGCACCTTTTTCTGTGGACATTGTTAATTTTGTGGTGTGTGCATTGTCTGTTTATTGCCACAATCTTCTTTCACGCGCGGATATTATTTTAATCATCACAATTTAAATTATTTTATTATTATTATTATTATTTTTATAAAAAATAAAACTAAAAATAAAAAACTTTGATTTCGGTAAGTAGGATTTTCTCTCTTCAATTTTCTTTATGAAATATACCACCCAAACAACATTAACAAATAGGCCTGGCAATTTATTCAGACAAGCCAAGTAGTGCTAAATCTAAACATCCGACTATAATTTATATTTGTAACAATCAAGAGACGAAACAGCAATCCGGATATAGACAACGGAGAACGTAGCATACGATTACACGAGTGATTTTATTAAACTGCTACGAAAGCGCAGTCTAATGACAACCTCAATAATACGAAGTTAAAAGCCAATGACAATACAAAATAGAAGCAAGAAATGTTCACAATTTTTCACTGTTTAAAGATTCATAATCTCAAACGAAGGGACAGAGGCTCGAGTTCGACCAAAAAACAAAAAAAAAACTCATCTTGTCAATAGTCGTACACTATTTTCGGAAGAATACCAACTGATTTAGTATCATTGCTATCGCATTGAAAAAATTGTTCGTCGATACAATCACAAAATATCTAAAACAACACTTATTTAAAGGGATCGTAAACAATGTGGACAACAAGATAGTTCTATATTCTCAATCATCGGATCCATATAATCCCATGTAATATAATATCCACACGAAACATTTGCAACCTCGCCATTTTAAAAACAAACAATTTTTTTACATACCGAAAAAGAAAAAGAAAACCATATATTCTAAATGACTGAAATACCCTTTTCAAGGCAAAAGTTCAAAATTGTACCTCACCTCAAATTCGTTGATCAAACTAGCAGTAACTCCACTACCAACTCTGTTGCTCCTCCTCTTCTCGTAATCCGCATCATCGGTCGGCAATTCATACCTACAAACCGGACACGTGTTCCTAATATCCAGCCACGGCAAAATACACTCCCCGTGGTATAAATGACAACAGGGCAACTTAGCGACACTCTCGTCAAGGGCGAATTCGTCTTTACACACTGCACAAGCAGCGACATTATTATCATCCCCGCCAAATTCTTCCTTTGTCAACACCACTAATGGCAGATTCTCCACCACGGATTTCGCAGCTGGAGGGCTGCCCTTTAATGCATTCTCGTTCTCCACCAATTGACCGAAAAGGGCATCGTATTCCATAGTCAAAATGTAATCTTCCGGAAGATTGATACGCGGCAATTCACTCCCGCCATTGTTATTCTCTTCGGAGCCATCGAAATCTGAAGTCCTCTCCAAATTATTCACTGCCAACAGAAACTCCCATTCTACATTCCTCTCTTCCTCTTCTAACGCTTCTTCGTCGTCGTCGCCGAAAATGGAGTTCTCGATTTCCGAAGAAGAAAGATCGGACGAAACGGATAATTCTTCGATTTGATTGATTGCCAAATTCAGATTCTCCCTCTCGTCAAAATTGATTCTTTCACTCACCTCCTCCCATTCGAACTCTTCTCGGTCATTCTCACTAGTGTAATAGCTATGGTTACTAACTCCAAAACTTTCGAAATTATCGTCATCGTTATCCATTAAACCCTGAATTACCTCGAATTCTTCGGAATCGGAATCGGAATCTATGTCCGCCGCCCGGAGACCCATGCTCGCCCCGAGACCCGGCCCGAACCCGAATTCCCGAGCCGAATCGTCCGCCCGGCCCGAACCCAGCTCCCAAATTAGGTCTTCCGCCGCGTGGGGCTGCCGCGTTTCGAACAGATCTGTAACGAAATTCATCTGCTCGTCGTCTTCCTCGCCACCGAAGAAGAAGCAATTAGGGTCTTGGTACTCGCATCCGAGATTCACGGCCTCTGCGTTCAGATCGAACCCTAAATCAAACGTCGTAGCGTAATCGTCGAAGAGTGATGGATTCGAAGAATTAATCGGAGGGGGGAACGAATCGAAATCCAAGAGAAAGGGGTTGGCCTGATGGTAGAAGTCGTCGTCGTCGTCGTCTTCTGGATGAACGTCTTCCCCCTGGTGGGGCCCAATGGTGGTGGAAGCGGGACTTCGTGACGACGGCGGCTGGCGGCGACGATGGAGATCGGAGACCTCCGCCATTGCAGAAATTTTTGCAGTAGAGAAAGTGATGCGTTTCTAATTCGTGAATTTTCGGATGCAAATTTAATTTATTTTTTATTGTTAGGGAAAAAGGAAACATTTGCTGATTTATTTAGGGTTTCTTGACGCTTTCTTTCTCTTATTACCTGCACCGCTAAATTGATATTATACTATTTTTATATTTATATATTATTATTATTATATATATGCTACTTAAATATTGTATTTATATTTATTTTGTATATATTGTGAAAATTCTCTGCTACAAATTATATATCTGATTTGATTCGATTTTTTTATAAATGTAAAATAATAATAATAATTTATGCAATTTGGATTTTTTTTGGTAAATATTACTTGCAAGAAACAAATTGCTTGGCTTGACAATGTTGCCACCGCGGGATGATAGAGATAGACATCACCGTGTTATGAATAATTAAATATCAATGGTTCAATTTTATTGTATCCAAAATTTGTATACGTCATCCAATAAAAATCGAAAAAAGAAAAAGATAAATCAAACGAAATGTTGAATAAGTCGTCGTAAATATGCATTTTTCAAATCGAAAATGGCTGAAATAAAAAAATTTGATCGAATTTTTCCCATCTTGTTGCTACCTCGAACTAACGGTTATAACAATGGGCAAATTACGGCCAGCACCCTAAGGTAAGATAAAATTACAAAAACCCCTATCTTGTTTGGATAATTACAACTACTCCTTCAAATTTCTCATTTAAAGCCATAATGATGAATATGTAAGACAATATTTAATTAAAGGAGGCTGTAATTACTAATTACCCAAACATGATGGTTTTTTCGTAATTTGACCGCATCTCAGATTCTCAGGGAGTTGACCGTAAGCCTATTGCTTGGAGTTTTATGGGACTTTGTTCACAATCTGGGCCCAATTGTTGAACCGGGCCCAATTGCTGAACCGGGCCATATCAAGAAACAAAGAATATATGTTCTACAAAAAGATTAAGATTGTAATTCCTATTTATCAATGTTCATCTAATTGCAAAAACACCCGCCAAGGATGTATTCAAATGCAAATGGCTTCTCGTTTCTCAAAAAGATTCTTCCATGTCAAACTAAAGCATCCATTGTCAAATGTACCCCTCAAATCTCCACTGATTCTATGTTCAATCTCAACATTTACACAGGAAAATCAACCGCACCCATTTTACAAGAAGACATTTTCCCATATGTTCCAAGAATGCTCCAATGGGAGATCACTCGAGCCGGGCCGACAAGCCCATGCTCGTTTGATAATATCCGGATTCAAACCCACTACTTTCGTAACCAACTGTTTGATCCAGATGTACATCAAATGCTCCCGTTTGGAGTGTGCTTGTAAAGTGTTCGACAGAATGTCTGAACCGGACCGTGTTTCCTGGAACGCCATGATTTTTGGATATTCTAAAAGTGGGAAGATGGGGTCGGCGCAATCGTTTTTCAATTCGATGCCCGCGAGAGATGTGATTTCTTGGAATTCTTTGATTTCGGGGTACTTGCAGAATGGGAATTGTTTACAGTCGGTTGAGATATTCGTGCTGATGGGCAGAGATAGTGCGGTTGCGTATGATGAGACCACCTTTTCTGTTGTCTTGAAAGCATGTTCGGGTCAAGAAGACTATTCTGTGGGGCGTCAGATACACGGGGTTGTGGTGAAGTTGGGGTTTGCGGGTGATGTGGTGACAGGGAGTGCAATATTGGATATGTACGCAAAATGCAAGAATTTGGATGAATCGTTGCGATTTTTCGATGCAATGCCTGTGAAAAATTGGGTTTCATGGAGCGCTATTATTGCGGGTTGTGTTCAAAACGGTGAGCTTGTTGATGGATTAGAGTTGTTCAAAGAAATGCAAAGAGAGGGAATTGGGGTCAGCCAATCTATATACGCTAGTGTTTTTAGGTCTTGTGCTAGTTTATCTGCTTCGAGGTTGGGTTCTCAATTCCATGGTCATGCAATAAAGAGCGATTTTGGAGCCGATACCATTGTTAGTACAGCCATGTTGGATATGTATGCGAAATGCGACAATTTGCTTAATGCTAGGAAGGTGTTCGATTTCTTGGGAAACCATAACTTGCAATCTTATAATGCTTTGATCACTGGATATGCTAGAGGTGATCGTGGATCTGAAGGCATGCAGTTATTTCTGCGTTTGTTGAAATCCGATCTCGGTTTCGACGAAATAAGCCTGTCCGGTGCATTTAGTGCATGTGCAGTAATGAAAGGACTTTTGGAAGGAACTCAAGTGCATGGATTAGCAATCAAGACTCCCTTCCATTACAATATTTGCGTGGCTAATGCAATTCTAGATATGTACGGTAAATGCGGAGCATTGCAAGAAGCTTGTCGAATATTCGACGAAATGGAAAGAAGGGATGCGGTTTCTTGGAATTCGGTTATCGCAGCTTGTGAGCAGAATAAAAACGAGGAGACCCTATTACTATTCGTTCGTATGCTTCGTTCGAGAATGGAGCCCGATGAATTCACATATGGGAGTGTTTTGAAAGCTTGTGCGGGCGAACAATCCCTCCACCATGGATTGGAAATCCATGGCAGAGTGATTAAATCCGGGATGGGGTTGGATTCGTTCGTCGGAAGTGTCCTTGTGGACATGTACTGCAAGTGTGGGGCGGTGGAAGAGGCGGAGAAGCTTCATTACAGGATCGAGGAACAGTCATTAGTTTCTTGGAATGCAATAATTTCAGGGTTTTCTTCAACCGAACAGAGCGAGGGGGCTCAGAAATTCTTCTCGAGAATGTTGGAAATGGGAATAGAACCCGACAATTTCACTTACGCCACAGTTCTTGATACTTGCTCCAATGTGGCCAACATCGGATTGGGCAAGCAAATCCATGCTCAAATAATCAAGCAAGATTTGACGTCGGATGTGTACATTACAAGTACGCTAGTTGACATGTATTCGAAATGCGGGAATATGGAAGATTCCGTTTTGATGTTCGAAAAATCCCCCGATCGCGATTTTGTGACATGGAACGCCATGGCGTGTGCTTATGCGCACCATGGCTACGGATACGAGGCTTTAAATATTTTTGAAAAAATGCAAATCGAGAGAGTACCGCCGAACCACGCGACTTTCGTGGCGATCCTCCGTGCGTGCGCGCATATAGGTCTTGTAGAGGAAGCGCTCCACTACTTCAACTCGATGAAAATCGAGTATGGATTGAACCCACAATTGGAGCATTATTCGTCCATGGTTGATATACTAGGAAGATCGGGTCGACTTGTTGAAGCATTGAAGCTGATTCAAGAAATGCCCTTTGAAGCAGATGATGTGATTTGGAGGACACTTCTAAGTATTTGCAGAATGCATGGGAACGTTGAGGTGGCGGAAGAAGCGGCGAATTATCTGCTGCGGTTGGACCCGCAAGACTCTTCTGCGTACGTTCTTTTGTCGAATATTTACGCGGATGCAGAAATGTGGGACCAGGTTTCGAAGATGAGGAAGATTATGAGGCGGGGTCGCATGAAAAAGGAGCCCGGCTGCAGCTGGATCGAGATCCAATCGGAGGTGCATATGTTTCTTGTTGGAGACAAAGCTCATATGAGATGTGAGGATATATATATGAACCTGGATTTGCTTTTTGATGAGATGAAATGGGATGGTTGTGTACCAGATGAAGAGCAGTTGTATTGAGTTGTACCTGATGCATTGTTTTAATTGCAATAACCACCATTGTGTTTGTTTTAATTGCAATATAAGAAAGATTTTGTTAGAAACCTAGGGGCAGTTTCGGTATAAAGAAAAGTTGGAATCTTTATATGTATAAGAAAGATCTTTGTTACTTCCTTATTTTTCTTTTTTTTTTTGGAGAAAAAGATAAAAAAATTAAGAATATACTTTTGTTCCTGATGTGGGCCCGGTTGAGCGATCGGGCCGGGCCCGGATAATTCGAAATTCCTGCGTAACTAATTTGAATCTTGAAGTTTCATGGGGTTGATAATTGGAACCAATGCATATCTGCCTTAAAATTTGCACTGGTTTTACATAGTAACAAAACTGTGCCAAAATATACAGTGACAAGAGACTCTTCCTTTACGAGATGACATGAAAAATACGAGCTGCAAAAGACGCGATTTAACCATTATACGACAGCAAAAAACAGTTTATAGTATCTTTCCTCGAACGTGAAATATATTCCCTCTGCTTCTGCGGTTCTTGAGAATTTCTCTTGTGGAAAATCAGTTGTCGTCGATAGTTTCTCAGTGCTGAAACAGAAAAGCTGCAAATGCTGGAATGGCCAATACAAGAACAGCAATGAAGACGTATTTGAATTTCAGCTGCCTTGTGTCTATATTTCTGACGGTGTTATTAAGCTCGGAGGTGGAATCGGTGAGATCTGTCTTGATCTCGGTTTTAAAACTTCTCTGTCTGCGTTGCCGATCTAAAAGCAAACACAAGTTGTGATGTATTAGAAATTATAAGAGTAATGAGAATATATCTAGAAATTAAAAATTACTGGTCGAAAATATCAATTGCGACTATTTTCAGTTATATTATAACATGCAAATGAACGACAGACAAAAACGAACAGAAGTACTAACCTCGTTACTGGTAGCTGAAGACTCCATTAATTCATCATTACTTCCTTTTGTAGAAGTTCCGCTCTTACCAACACTTTCGGAGAGCGTGTGTTCTTTTACTTCATGGCTTCGATTCACAGAAAATTTAGAGTCCATCTTTATTTGCTGCAAGTATTTTGCTGCAAGTTTTTTCTCCTTTGTTAATGATGATATCTGGAGAGAGAAAATAACACTGTTAATTGTCAGAAGAAGCAGAGGCAACTTAATAGTAACGAGAAACTGCAAATTTTCATGACTATGAAATGTGAAAAAAGATTGTAACAAACCTGCTTATGAAGGCGTTCTCGTTCAACAGACAACTGCATTACTAAATCCGTAATTACTTTACTTCGCGACTTAATAGTTTTCGCAGTGTCCTTCTTTGCTTCATCAGCCTGAAGCAAAGATGTCTCCAATTCTTCCGTTCTGCGCCTTAGAAAATTTATCTCTTCGATGAATTCCGCATTGGACTCGGACAATATAATACACTTCTCTTCAGCACTCTCGGTCTGGTTTTCGGCCTTCAAAACCTTCGACTTCAGATCTTTTATTAAATTATCCATATCCTTGGTTGTTTGTTCTAACATGCTTTGTTTCTCTTGACTAGCTTCAGCAGATGCCTTCGCATGAACTTGCTTCATCTCAGAGTCCTTTAACCGCTTCTCTAACTGTTCTACCCTCGCAGTTGCATCATCATTGCTACTCTTCAAGCGGCTCACTTCCATATTAAGCTTCATGTTAGACTCCCTAAGTATTTTACATTCGGCTTCAGCAATTTCAGCTCTCATTTCAACTTCAGTAACTTTTCCATTTAATTCTTTATTTTGCTCGGAAGACTCCTTCACATTGTGCAGTTGAGACTCAAAGTCGCCGAGTTTCTCCTCTAGAGAGTTAACCTTTTCAACGAGTTCTGCTCTAGAATTCTCAGAGCTCTGCAAAGCACAATCTTTTTCTTTCAACTGCTCGGTAAAATCTTGCAATTTAGATCTTAACTCTTGTTCTCTCTGAATTGACTCATTTATACTAAACTGCGCCGCCTGGATTCGACCAAATAGTTCTTTCGAAATTCCCAAAAATATTTCTGCACTATTTTCAGCCTCAAGCAGTTTTTCCAACATATCTTCACCCTCTACTTCCATGCAGTAGACTTCGTGCTGCAGCCGAAATTTTAAATCTTCTTCGGTTTGTCTCGACTCCGTTAGCTTCTTCTCAGTATCCATTTCCCGGGCCAGAGATTTCTCCAGCATTCTCAAGATATTCCTCTGCTGTTCGGAAGTTTGCATTTTGATCTTCGCATTTATATCTGAATGGCCGCCATTTTCCGGACCAGCAAACTCGTTTTCATCATTCCCTGTTAACATATCACCATGAAAGGTGCGTGATCAGATTTAAAGTAATTGAGGATCAAAATCCCAAACTAAAATTGCTAAATAGAAGGTTTAAAATTATTTGAAATGCAGAACACTAAACACCGCCTTTAAATCTAAATTGTCATCTAGCTTATCAAGTTGAAAAGAGATCGAACATAGAAAAACGGAAGATGTGAAGAACATACACTTTCCATCTCCAGAAGAAGCTAACAAGATTTTCCGGAAGTTAGCAGATTGCATCTTTATGCCCGAGACCTGTTCGAATGATATCTTCAAGGTGTCCTCACAATCTTGTAACTTCTCTTCAATTTCCTTAAGACCATCACCAAGCTGCTTGAATGAAGATATACTCCCCTTAGAACGAACAATCTCAGCCTGAAGAGCAGATAGAAGACTCTCCAGTTCAGTAACTTCAGAGTCCAAAAACCCATACAAAAGGTCAAATTCTAATGCTTTCTCAGCACGACCATCCGATGTATGCTCGTCTTCCAAAGCAAAAGCCTCGAAATCGTTTTCCCTTGAAGCCACATGCATAACGAGTATGTCCAAGTTAACTAACTTTTCAGAGGAACATGCTAAATCTAGTTCAACTCTAGTTAACATTTCTGCTATACTATCTAGCTCGCGAATAGTGGCTCCACCAGATGAGACAACTTCAAGTGAATCGTTGTAATTCGATTCAGCCTCCGCTTCACCAGAACTAGCATTTTCAACAGAAGAAGATCTGTCTTGAATATTGTCAGAATCCATCTCAATTCTTCTGGTTACTCACTTTAGATCCTGAAAAGGAAATCAGTTTGTACTTCAATCAACTCAAGCTCATCCTTCCCGTAAAACGAGACTCGAAAGGAAAGAAACGAAAAACAAATCAAAATTATTCTACAGAAGAAAATTAATATACGCAGCTTAAAACACATCAAGTGCAGGCGAAAGACATACAGTGCCATTGCTAAGAAATATTTTCTTCACTGTATTCATGTATTCATTTAGTGAAGCTGATATATAGAAAGGTGGCATAAGGAAAAAGAAAACGAAATAACCTTCTTTCATTACCAATGTATTTTGATTTCGAAGTGAAGCTCTCTAAAATTTTTGTTGTCCTTTAAATAGGCTCATTAAACTAGGACAATAAACGAGGAAATTTACCCTATGGAACTGAAGGGGAGAGAAATTATCATTGTCATTGTATATCATTTCTCAATTTCGCAACTACAAAACTCTAATTTAAACAACTTAAAGACAAGCAGGAAACGAACGAAGCCTAGCTAAACTGACATGATGAGCTCCCAAAGACTAAGTTCTTGGGTTCTGATTTCATCAGAACATGAATTTGTACGTTATTCGATTTTCGTAGTCATTATGAACTTCAATTTCAGATCAACTGTAGGTTTTTAACTTTAACTATTGCTTTGTAGTTAGTTGGTGATGATTAAAAATTCCTAATGTAATCATGAACACAACCGACACATGAAAAAATAAAAGAAAAACCACTTATGGAATCAAATGAATTCCGATTGAAAATAACGAAACCCTAGAATCCGTTAAACAAACTCATATCCTTCAATCGCATCCAGATTTGTATATTCATCTACTCGCCCGTTTGTATAACCATCGGGAATAAAAAAAAAATTAAAAAAAAATCCTCTACATAAAAATTTAGAGTAGCTTCCATTTTGAAGATAGTACGAAGAACGCCACAAAATTCTCCGATTCACCAGTAAGCATACGTACGGAGATTATGCAGAAAGATTCATCAACAGGAATCAATGCAACACATAAATTTAAAAAAATAAAAATAAATAAAAGTAACTCCGATTCATAAATCCTAGAAAAAAAAAACACAAACGAGTAACATATATTTGTATACAGATGCAATCGAAGAACAAATTAGAAAGACGAAAGCAATTATGAAGAACCGTACCGATCAGAACGCCGCGTGTTCGAGAGTGAGTGCGGGATTTTAATTTTACTTTTTAATTTTGCCGGATAAAAAAAATATAAACCTGTTCAGTTCAGTGTGAGTGACCGAGTGTGACTCGGCTTAACTGTGCGTTGTCGTGCACGTGATTTCACGTGGCTCCTTTTGTGATTCATGTGTTGGATGCTGATAAAATTGAGAAATTTGGGCCCAGTTAATTTATTGTTAGCCCATTTTGCAAATTGTTAGTCCCATTTGATATTTAATAATGAAAAAGGGGTCCCACCTAAATAAGGTGGCTTTTGAATTAAACCAAAAATCTTTTACAAAACCAAACTAAGTGTATTTTTATTTAATGAAATTGAAAAAACTATGTCGAGTTTGAACAAATTGAAGTCACGATTGAATTTGACTGTGTATCTTATTAATTTAACTAGTGCACGTTTTTTTTAAACGATCGTTCGGATGCTACATCTGACGAAACACTCCGAATAAATTTTAATTATTAATATGGTCATAAGTGTATTATAATTATATACAGATCAATAGTCAATAATCACTTGTTGTATTTCACTGAACATAAAATCTTGAAATACTACACCTGATACCTGATAAAATATATCGGGCGATTTTTTAAATATATATTTGAATTAAGTTTATTAAAAATTAATTGTGGTCGACTCATGAAATGGGCCCACACCCACGCAAACAAAAGTCCAGCTCATTACCCACTCAAATTCTTGTCATCATACATCTTACTTTATAAAATTTAGTAATATATTTGGACCCCATCACTGGTCACTTCACTGACCAATTAAGCTTATAAGCTCTTAAAAATAGTTTATAAGATATTTAACAGATTATAAGTTCTTCTAAAATATTTAGTTAATCGATGATTAGCAAATAATTCTATTTTTAAGAACTTATAAGATGTTTGATAATTTTATAAGATGTTTGGTGACTCGGAATGAGCCGATGACTCGTGCAGTCGTGCCGACTCGAAAGTCGTACATGTCAGCATGTGTACACGTGTCACAATACTGATCACATGTTTATAGCAGTAAAAAAATAATGCAAGTAGCTTGATCGATTTTGCTTTACTATATTATCTAATTACAAACATCATATATTATGAAATAATAGACATTTTGATTTTTTATTTTTCTATTGAAAATTCAGATAGTTTTTTTTTTTTCTTTTTTGCTACTATTCTTGATCCAATGCAATAATAGACATTTTATATATATTTTTATTATAAAACCATAAAAAATAAATATAAATAATTCATACATGCGACTAATTTGAAATTGAAATTCGCCATGATAATGCATCCGACACTGTTAGATCCGTGGTACAAATGATTAATTATTAAATAAGTTAATTATTAACTAATAGTGGAATCAAATCTTAATGATACAAATCTCAAAGAGACAACCATTCTTTTAAGTTTTATCTTTGCTTTCTCCCTACCATTTTATTTATTTGTTTATTTTAGCAAAGAATATTTGTCTAATATTATTTAATCATTAAAAAAAAAATTATCATTTTAGGATTTTCATTTAATGCACCTTTCTTTAATCTCAAGAAAGAAAAAAGAAAAAAAAAAATCTATCAATTACTCATAGCGGCAAATGAGCAATTTATGAATTTTTAAAAAATTTAAGTGTCAGCTAATATGAAACAAAAAAATGTATAAAACGACGATAATAATTTAAATCGAACTGAGTATTACTCAAAAAAAAAATTGAACTGAGTAAGTCTTTAAAATATACATTAAAAAAATCATAAACGCTTGTGCAAGATTTTGGCGATTTTTTTGAATTCTCACATTTTAAACAAGGGATAATTAGCAATACCCCCTCATCTAGGTAAATGAGTTAAGAAAACCCCCCCTTCTAAAAATAATTAGAGAAAATCCCCTTACCTAATATTCCACCCTTATTATTATTTAATAATTCCCAAACCACCCTTATTTCGTAACCTTTCTTCTTCTCCACCCCACTTCGCCCTTTCACCTCTTCTCTGCAACCTTGTTCTTTCTCTCTCTCTCTCTCTCTCTCTCATCGAAAGATCCTTTCTTCTGAAAGTTCAATCCATTTAACCCATCAACTACTGCATCCACCCACTCAAAACACCAACATTTACATGCACTTTTTTTGATTCGGATTTCGATTTGTGTGTGTGTGAAATTCATTATTCCGATGCAACTTCTATGGCGATCACACATCGTTTAGGTTTTCTACTCTCCGTTTTGGATTTGTGAATCCGGTGGAATCAACCGACGGCAGTTTTCGCTGAAATCGATCGGTGCCGTTTTGAAGAGTCGTTTGGTTGGCGGAAGACGGCGCAGAAAAAAAAATTCGCGCAGGCAGGGCCTTAATCGACTACGTGGCTTAATCGACTATGTTCAGTAGTCGATTAAGGTTAACCGACTCCAGTTGTTAATTTTTTTTTTTTGATGTTTTGTTTATTGATTCCAATGTATAAATCAATTACAATGTTTATATATATATATATATATATATATTTTTAAATATAGTTGATTTTGCATTTTTTTTGTAATTGTGATTTGTTATTTTTAATAGCTAAAATTTTAATCGACTATGCATTAATAAACCTGATAGAGAAAAGAATTAAAAAAACCAAAAACATTTAAAAACAATATTAGAAACAAAAAAAAAATTAAAAAATTGATGATTTTCCTTAATCGACTATGAGTCTATGAAGCATAGTCGATTTAAGACTAATCGACTATGCTTCATAGTCGATTAAAAAAACGGAAAAAAAAAAAAAATCAGCGTTGGCCCAGTGATGAGGTGGCGAGCGGGGTAAAGCTGGAAAACATAATGGCTAAAAATGGGTGTGGACTTTTCTCAAATGAACTAAAATATTTTGGGCCTCCCTCAATTAAAAAAAGTAGTGAGAGGGTTTTCTCAAAGAGCCCCTTTAAACAAAAATAAACAAATTAAGAACATAAAATTTAGTGTAATTAAAAGAAGATTCTAGAAAACTCACACAAGGCAAAGATTCCTTAAATATTTAAATCTCCAAGTAGGAAGCCACAGGATAATTATTGTTTCCATAGCTGTACAATTATTAAGATTAAGAGGACTAATTAAGTAAATTAGTAATTAAAAAAAAAAAGAAGAAGCATAAAATAGATAATTATTATTTAAAAACAAAAATGTTGGTTCAGAAGTCATCTTCTTCACTACGTTTGTTAGCAAAATCAATCAGTAAACCAGGCATCATCTTTTGGGAGGGCTTCCTTTCTCTCTCATCACCGTTGATTGAAAGGACCCCCCACCCCCACCCTACCCTACCCACCCCACCCCCACCCATCCCCACAAAGCATCAATTGAAAGCGACGCCATTGGTCGTCGTTTCATCGGTAGAAATAATTAATTTCCCCCAAATTCGCTTTATTGAATTACTTTGTGTAATTTTCAGCTTGCACAATAATCAAAGGTCGGATTTCTTCTTCTCTCTCTCTCTCTCTCTCTCTATCTCGAACGATTGTGTGTCAGCCGATGTAGAGAAACTATTCGTGTATTAGTATTACTTAAATTATTATATTATCCATCCGTGGAAAACGTTGCGTGCACAATTCTATCTCTTCATCTTCATTATATTTACTCAATTTGTACATATATATCTCTCTCCCAGCTACCATATTTCCAGATACAGAGTTGTTTTCGTTGTTATTTTTAGGGTTTGATTTTCTGAATTTGAATTTTGAATTTTTTGTTTTTAAATTGTATTAATCAGGTTTTCAATTTTTTGTTTGTTAGATTTTGAAGAGACTGATTCTCATCGAAGTCGTCGATAAAAGTCGGTTTCTTTGAAGGGTTCTCTTTGGGAAATCAATCTAAGGTAGCCGCGTAATTGTTTAAATTAATCAATCAATTACTTTCGTTGTATAGCTTTCATAGAATCTTCCAATATTGGCTGTCAGATTCTCAATTCTTTCCATTTTAAAGACAATAATTCACATCCATACCTTCAAGTTTTGAAGGTTCTTAACTTATAATCTTTTTCTGCAGATTGTTTAGCTCAAGGAGTCCCGAGGCTTCAATCCATTGTTGTTGCATCCGATTTTTTTCTTCGATCTTGGCTCAATATAGTTCGAGCAAACTGATTTTTCGAAAATGACAATTGTAAGTGTCAAGCCTGCCACAGAAAGGAAGTCAAAAAAGAACAAGCAACCGATTGTTGACGAGAAGTCACCATTGTTGCCCACCAAGCACAGCGAAGATGGTGGATTCGACGAATTCAACGGAGCTTCTTTCAGTGGGTCGGTTTTCAATCTGTCGACAACTATTGTCGGGGCTGGAATCATGGCTTTGCCCGCAACTATGAAGGTTTTGGGACTTATCCCCGGTGTTGTTGTAATAATATTAATGGCATTCTTGACAGAGTCCTCGATCGAACTTCTGCTCAGATTCAGCCGCACGGCCAAGTCAGTTTCTTACGGAGGTCTTATGGGGGACGCGTTCGGTAATTACGGAAGGATGTTGATTCAGCTGTGCGTGTTGGTCAACAACATTGGTGTGCTCATAGTGTACATGATTATTATAGGTAACTTTATTGAATCTCGATTGAATTTTGAGTACTTGTGTTGTGATCTTTGTTAGCAATTGTTTGTTGTGTTCGTTCTTGATCTTATGGAGGTTTTTGTTGGTTAAAGGTGATGTACTTTCTGGAACAACATCGGGAGGAAGTCACCATGCTGGTGTGCTCGAAGGTTGGTTCGGAGAACGATGGTGGAACGCTCGATTCTTTGTTCTCCTTATTACGACCCTTGGCATATTTGCCCCATTGGCTAGCTTGAAGCGAATCGGTGAGTCCTTTCTCTTTCGTATTGAGCAGTTATATTTGTGGCTTCTTTTGCAACTATTCAATCTAATTGTATTGTGAAAATACCTTTGTGCCGCGACTTATTTTTGGAAATGTCATAGTGGACTTCTTGCGGTTATTTTGACAGGGGTATGTTTGTCAACGGTCATTTTATTTGCAATACATATCACATATAACTTATAATTCATCAGTTACCTCTACATCTGATACCGAAAAGTTAACGACCCCTTAGTTGTTGTATAATATGATTTTGGGACTTCAATGATTAAGTATGAAGCTTACCATGCAATGTTACTCTCTCGAAAACCATATATCTTAGATTTGAGCCTTTGTTTTTCAATTTATTTATCCTGCCATTTTACTGAAGCTGAATATTCATTCAATCTTGTGTTTGCAGATTCATTGAGATACACATCTGCTCTATCAGTTGCACTGGCTGTTGTATTCCTCGTTATTACCGTGGGGATTACACTCTTCAAGCTGATAAACGGAACTATTATGATGCCTAGGTTGTTTCCGGAAATTACCGATCTAACCTCGGTCCTCAACCTCTTCACCGTAGTTCCTGTTCTTGTCACTGCATACATCTGCCACTACAATGGTGAGTAGTCAAATGTGCGATACAACTAGCTTCCATTCTTTCCCCGCTTTCTCAGTGTCTGACAAAAATGTTTTTTTTTTCCTGTTCCATCTTTGCAGTTCATTCAATAGACAACGAGCTCGAGGACAACACACAGATAAAAGCAGTCGTAAGAACTTCACTCGCCCTATGCTCGAGCGTATATGTAATGACGAGCATATTCGGATTCCTTTTATTCGGCGACGAAACTCTCGACGATGTCCTTGCTAATTTCTCGACGGATCTCGGAATCCCGTTCGGTTCGTTGCTAAACGATTCCGTCAGAGTCAGCTACGCAGCTCACTTGATGCTCGTTTTTCCTATTGTGTTTTATCCCTTGCGGTTGAATTTGGACGGGCTTTTATTCCCTTCGGCGCGGCCTTTGGCTTCGGATAATTGTAGGTTTGCTTACCTCAGCACAGGGCTTATTGCTGTCATCTTCGTCGGGGCAAATTTTATACCGAGTATTTGGGATGCTTTTCAGTTTACCGGAGCAACTGCAGCTGTTTGCATTGGTTTTATTCTCCCCGCTGCTATTACTCTTCGGTAAGTTTTTTTTTTAGCCTATATTGAATAAAAATGGATGATATACAAATTAATGGCGTTTAGAGTTGAATAAGGCATCGTTTGGTTGGTAATGTAAGGCATGATTAGGTTAAATATTAGGTCTTGGTTATTGGATTAACTTTTTGGGTCAGCCTGCAATTGTGTTCTGAGGCCTCGTTTGGTTCCTAAGATAAGATTAGAGAAGTTAAGAGAAGTAATCTCTCAATTAGCTAAGATTATAGCCATTTTTCTCCACAATTGCGGGTGGGCTCGAAAAGTTATTTTACTGACGAAGCATCTAATAAGGTCCGTCCAATTATTTAATTAATCATGGTTAATCTTACCAACCAAGGCCTAATTATAAAATTGTTTTCTCAGAAGATTGCATAATCTTTATCTTGGGAACCAAACGAGGCCGAAGGCTGAGAATACTATACATTTATAAAACTGTCGGTTTTTTTTTTTGGGCACCTCTTACTCTAATTGTCAAAAGACCCTTTTTATTACCGTGAACTCCATGCCGATAAAAGTAGCATAATTTTATTTTGTCAGTATTTCAGGGACCGATATGGAATAGCAGCAAAGAAGGACACAGTATTATCGATTTTCATGGTTGTACTCGCTGTCTTTTCGAATGTGGTTGCTATATACAGCGATGCCTATTCATTGTTCAAAAACGGGCCTTCTCACCGCGAATGAGGGGTCTCGCCCAATTAAGCTATTTGTTTTAGCTGGAGACTCGGATTAATTATGGCCCGAATTAAGAACCGGTGAAAAACGGTTAACGGGCTAAAGCCCGAGTTTCAGTTTGCACAAACATTATATATATATATATATATATATATATATATATATATATATATATATATATATATATATATATATATGTGCTCAACTTAGATGTTGAGGCTGTTAGAAATGTTTTGTTTAATATTACATACTGAGGTTGTTTGTGCAACCTGTGTCTGTGTACTACTGTTGTATTCTTGTTGTGCTATATTTTGGGGGCTGCTGTACTAATAATGTGTATAATATCATTTATATAAGTGTGTTTGAATATATGATATTTCTTCTTTTATGGGTTATAATAATTAATTAATGGTTGTATCTACTAATTTCTTGTGAATGTTATATGTTAGTATTTATTTAATTTTTTTTTTTCTTGAATTTTTGATTAATTCTGAATGATCGAGGATGAAACTAACGATTAGTATTTTAAAAAAATAGTTGTTATTAAAATAAAAGGAGTTGATTATCCAGACAAACTCCACAACTACAATTACACCTCTATAAATTAATACAGTCGGGACTAGGGAAATTTTATTAATTTAGCGAATTATTAAATTATCGACCAAACGGTGGCACGAGGGTTGCTCGGCAAAGTTTTGAAAATTAAGAATTTTGGTGACAGAAAAAATAATTCCATTTTTAAATAAATCCAAAAAGAATAAGAAAACTTAAATTAATTGTTGGGTAAATTCCACTTTACCCCTTATACTTTGGCTGGATATCACTTTACTCCCTTGTACTCTCAATTGCATCAATTTGACCCATTGTACTTTGGTTTGACATCACTTTACCCCCTTCTACTCTCAATTCATCAATTTGTCCCCTGTACTTTGGCTCGATATCACTTTACCCCCTTCTACTCTCAATTGCTTCGATTTGCCCGCCCCCCTTACTTGAAAAATTGTCTCAATGTGGTCATCGCCGTCAGTTTTCAGACCTTTGACCTTAACACCATTTGATTTAAGTATGAAAATTAATATAATGTCACCCCTCGAGTTTAAATAATTATTAAAAATTAAAAAAATTAAAAAATTAAAAACAACAAAAAAATAAAATAATAAAAAATTCAAGACAGCGAGAAAACATAGTCCACGACGCAGCAACAATTTTTTTTATTAATAATTATTTAAACTGGGATGGGTGGTTTTTTTTTAATTTTCAAACTTAGATCAAACGGTGTTAATGTCAAATGTCTGAAAACTAACGACGAGAGCCACATTGAGATAATTTTTCAAGTACATGGGGGCAAATCGATGCAATTGGTAGTATAAAGGGGTAAAGTGATATCGACCCAAAGTATAAGGGGGCAAATCGATGAATTGAGAGTAGAAGGGGTAAAGTGATATCGAACCAAAGTACAAGGGGGCAAATCGATGCAATTGAAAGTATAGGGGGGTAAAATGATATCCAGCCAAAGTACAAGGGGTAAAGTGGAATTCACCCTTAATTGTTTTATTGAGTTTGGGGGTTAAAAAAAATAGAAGTTTTGTTTGGGATAATTTAAATCAATTCAACTCCGTTTCCGCTAAACAACTCATCGGAAAATTACACGATGACTACCACCATGGGCCCTCCGCCTCCAAAAACCCCTACCGCCACCGCCACCGCCGCATCCCTAGACGGCGCAGATGCCTCAATATCCGGATCACCAATAGCAATCCCTATAGTTCCCCCTCTTTCCAGGGACAGCAGCCCTTCCGAACCCGAACCCGAACCCGAACCCGCAGCCGAAGCCGAGTTATCAGGAATTGACCACCAACAACCGGAATCAAACCCTCTCCGTGATGATACTTCAGGCGAACCTAATCAACTTTCCAATCCTACTGACATCTCAAATGACGTCATCTCTTCTGACGTCGGAAAGAAAAAGGAGCAGCAGAATGGTACTGCGGCGGTGCCGTACAAAATTCCGGAGTGGAGCGCACCTCCTGGCCACGAGTTCGTCCTTGAAGTCCTGAAAGATGGCGCCATCATTAATCAATTTGATGTGTTAGTGGTTCTTCTCTTTCCTTCTCAATTGCTTTTTTTTTTTTTCCATGATGATTTTGTTTGAATGTATTTCTTCTCTGTTTGATAAATTATTCCAGGAATAAGAAGGGGGCATATATGTTTGGCCGCGTGGATCTTTGTGATTTTGTGCTTGAGCACCCTACCATTTCTCGTTTTCACGCCGGTATAGTTTCTTAGTAACAAAACTCTGTCGAGTGTTTAATTATTTCTATTATGATGTTATACCTCTCGAATATGTGTTCGATGAACATATTGAAATTAAACTGAAAGTGGCTGACATTTTAAATTCTCTCGTGGTGCAGTTCTTCAGTTTAAGAGCAACGGAGGTGCGTATCTCTATGATCTCGGAAGTACACATGGTACATTTATAAACAAGAGCGAGGTACAAGTTTCCCATCCTCAACTCTCCCATGAGAGACATATGTACTGCCATTGAAACTTGTACCATACTTATATACGTCGCTGAATATTATGGTTATAAATTCTCCAAGTCTAGATAATTTATAGTTCATTTTTCTATTAGTCAGGTAATGATGATGAAAAAATTGGGAATTTTTCCGACCTAAAGTTGCCAGGAAGCCAACTGAATGGCATGTAGCGAATATCATATAGATACTTGTATTGAACTATTGATGCATTTCTTCCTGGCACATATTACTTGATGAACCAGATTTTGCTGTCCTTTTTTTCCCTCTACAACTTATAGATTATTGGCTTATGCATCAGGTAAAAAAGAGGGTTTATGTGGATTTGCACGTTGGTGATGTCATCCGATTTGGCCAGTAAGTAATTTCATTAGCTTTTGGCCACATGTTTTTTTCTCTCATACATGAATGTGTTAGTGTTGAGGGCACTTTCCGATTTATATTTGAATATCATTGAAATTTTGGGATCCAACTAGAAATTAATAATGTGATGTTTTAGCAGTACAGAGTAAATTTCTCATACTTATGTTGATCTGCTTTTCCGTTGTATTATAAATTGAGACCTCTCGTTTATGCTCTTTCTTTCTTTTTTGGTCTTACACAGATCGTCAAGGCTGTACATATTTCAAGGACCATCCGACTTGATGCGACCAGTAAGTCTTTTTGTTTATCTCATCTCAAATACATGAGCCAGATATGTACCTTTCATTAGAACATTCTAATTCACACAAAAAAAAGTGCTAATTAACAATGACAAACTCTTTCCTCAGCGTCTGTATATTTCTGCAATGTTATCTATATTTCCGTCAGCTTCTGATTATCTTCCGTGTGGCTTGGTTTGATAGGAAGCTGATTTGAAGAAATTAAGAAAGGCAAAGATACAACAAAATATGCAAGATATGGAAGCATCACTTCTGCGAGCAAAAGTAGAAGCATCTCGGGCAGATGGGATTTCCTGGGGCATGGGTGAAGATGCTATTGAAGAGAATGAGGTTTGTACAAAACTTTTCTTATGTAGGAGAAATTCATTGTCGGACTTAGTAGTACTTTTTGGATTTGATTGCATATTAAGGAAGCTATGCTGTTTTACTATTGAAGTATAGTATACTCCTAGTATCAAGGATTTATGGGCCTACGTCTAGTTTGACCTCGTTCATAGTAAATTTAGATTGAGAGAAATTAAAGAAACCAGAAAGCAGAATCCTGAACTTTGTTTCTCTTTCTAAGATATAGTTGGGGATTGAAAATTAAATAAGAGATTCTTATATTTATGAGAGAGTTGAGTGTTTAGATGGATTAGGGTGTGAGAGTATGGAAATTTACGTATCCTCTTGTTTATAGTGGATTTTGGACTTTGCCCATAGAGGCAGGCTTTGGTTGAGCTGAACCGTCCGTTCTTGTTTTTCTTGTAATCCATAATTTTTTTTCTTGAATTATTTAATGTTCTGTGGATTTTCATTTTGATTTACTTTTATCCTTATCTGCTTTTCAACTGACAAAGATATTTCTGGAATCTAGGATGAAGTTGATGAAATAACTTGGCAAACTTACAAGGGACTACTTACAGAGAAGCAGGAAAAAACTCGAGAAAAAGTCATTAAGAGACTCGAAAAGGTTGGTCAATTGTTGTTGCTTTCATGGTGCAATTTGTACCTTAGCTTAAGTTATCCCAAGTATAATGTGTCTCATAGACATAATATGTAGCTATCTCCATTTTGTACTGGCACTCCAAATACTGGATATTTCTTTATCTTTTCAAATTCTGGCTCACAATATTTTAGAAGGTTCAAAGATTTCACACTTACTAACCCAGAATTCAGGTAGTCGCTTTACTTTGGAAGCATAGTGGAGATTGCTACATATTATGGCTTACGAATAGTAAATCTGTGTCTTGCTACATTTTATGCCTTACAAACACTAAATCTGCGTTATTGAGTTGTATTTTGTTCTTCTGTAGATTGCTCACATGAAGAAAGAGATTGATGCAATTCGGGCGAAGGATATTGCTCAAGGTGGCTTGACACAAGGACAACAAACACAGATTGCTCGCAATGAACAAAGGATATCTCAGGTATTTGATAAAACATAAAGGGTGTACTTGTCTTGCTGTACAATTTTTTCTTGTTGGGGGAAAGATAATACAGTTTTATTTAGTCTGACAGATTTGCGAATTAAGCTTTATGCAGTTATCATATTTGATAATTTAGTTTTATATAGTCAACAGATTTCTGAAGTTGGGCTTCACTCGCTGGTTTTAAGCTTTATGCAGTGATCATATTTGATAATCAAGTTTTATATAGTCAACAGATTTCTAAAGTTGGCCTTCACTTTCTGGTAATTCTAACGCTAAAACATTTCTTAGATACTGGAAGAGCTTGAGAATTTGGAAGAGACTTTGAACGAAAGCATTCGGGAAAGTTTAGGTGCACGTACTGGAAAGTTGTCTCATGGTAAGAAAAAAGGGTCCATGGAAGACGAAGAAGACGAATATTTGAGGTATAATAATTTTTTTTCTTCTCATTTTTCATTTCAAGCTGGATATTTCCGACATGAAAAAATTCAATTCTATGATAACTTTTGCATCTAATTGATCTTTCAGTTCGATTTTTATGAAATTGTTGCATGAAATCCTCACCATGTTCTTACTCTGCTGGTCAATGGATACTGTATCATGTTGATGAATGCAAATATTTTATGCCATAACATTTTCGTGTATTTACCATGTTGTTTTCGAGCAGTGATGATGATGATTTCTACGATCGAACACAGAAGTCCTTAAAGAACAAGAGCCGGGGAAACCAATCAGTAGAAACAGCTGATTCTCTTCTTGACAAGAAGGATGCCCTTAGTAAACAGATAGAAGATAAGGAAAAGTTACTTCTGGATGAGGACAAACCAGCAGAGATAAAGGAAGTTTCTGAAGCTGGAGATGAACTTGATGCTTACATGTCGGCAGTTTCATCACAGCTAGGTGAGATTATCCTCTAACTCTGTGTAGTTTTAGTCATCAATCTCACTCGTCTCTCCTTTAATGGATAAACAAGATTCAAATTTTTATTCTTGACCAGCTTTGTTTTGGGTTTTTTTCCTTTGGTTACAGTTTTGGATAAAAAGGAAAAGATTCAGAAGGAGCTATCCGTTCTCCAATCGGAGTTGGATAGGATTCTTTACTTGCTGAAATTAGCCGATCCGACCGGAGAAGCATCTAGGAAAAGAGAATCCGCAGAACAAAAACCCAATACAGTAGTGAAGAATCATCCTGCTTCAGATGCAATCAATCCCCCCCTACCAGAAAAGAATCTACCAAAGAATGGCCCCTCGTCAGATAAGAACCCAAATTTAGGACCAGAAGGCACAGTAGTTAAATCTGTTAGAAAAGAAACTTTAGTCGAATCAAAAGCGATGAAGGAACAAGCAAAGTCCGTAAACGATGAGAGTACAGCTACTGTATATACGGCTGCAAAGCCACAATGGCTTGGTGCTGTGGAGGACATAAAAAGGCAAGAAATTAAGCAAGAAAACAAACAAGAAATTAAAGAAGAATTGCAGGAGAAAGATCAGTTTGTAGACTATAAAGATAGGGAAACGATTCTGACAAAAGCAGAACCGGGAATAGAAGATGCTGCCCCTGGTCTAATTATAAGGAAACGGAAGCAAGTCGGAAAGTCAAACATCAGTGAGGTCAAATATTCTGAACAGTCTATTGGACCTGATATTAAGGCAGAAGATGCTGTGGCCTTGTTACTGAAACACTCGAGAGGGTACCTTGCATTAGATGAGGAAGATAGCCCTATTAATGAAGATGGTCTAGTTGAAAATCAAGGTAGGAAGAAAGGGAAAAAGGCTAAAAAGGTGCTAGGTCCTGAGAAACCGTCGTTTCTCAGTGAGCCGGATGCTTGGGTGCCCCCTGAAGGTAATTACTTTTCGTTTTCATTAACAATTATTTATTTATTTATTATTATTATTTTATATATATGTATATATATATTTGTTGTTTTTTTTTAAAGTATATTGGGGTCTGATTTATGCTCAATTTTCTGTTGTGACTTTCTTTCCCAGGTCAATCTGGAGATGGACGGACCTCATTGAATGAACGTTTTGGTTACTGAAGTGACATCTACGATGCTTTACAGGGCTGCACTTGGCTGAGGTTCACTGTCTGTTTTGATGTTTTTACCAAAACGCCCCTGCGTATGAACTCTTTATTTATGGTAAAGGGCATTTTGCGGGATTTGATGGTAAATCGAACAATGTTTACGTTTCCTGTAACTCTACTCCAGGAATCATAATTTAACGATAGGCTACTGAGGTAATGTAGTGTTGTACAAATTTGTGAAGCATAGTTGAATGTTTCGAAAGTTTTCAATCAGGTTATTGCCCAACATTAGTAGATATTGAGAGGTAAGAGATCGTAACTTCGAAATTTTATGATTTGATCTTTTGCAAGAAATAATCTGGACACTAGGCGAAAAAATCAAATTAATAATGACATAAAAACACGAATAACGTTATTTATACTTTTCGAACTAATTACGTCGCTGATCTTTTCTACCATATGCATTCACGTTAGTTCACCAATTTCACGTGTATTCGACAATAATTTAACCCGATGTGTTTATAGTACGAGACTTACAAATCAATCAAATATTGAGCTAATTAGAGATAAGATAATATAGGGGCAGAATCATGCCTACATTCCACAGGGATTAATGTAACATAAGTGAGGAACCAACGAATAAAAGTGATTTATTACATAAGAGCAACACTCGTGTGCAATCGAATCATTTCCACCCTTGAAAGCACAAAACAGCCCAGAGCCTAGAATACGAGGAAAGCTCGGTCTCGATCCAAATAATATTGTACAGAACAGAACCTGACAGAGGAATGAACGAAGAAAACTGTGGTGTTATGTGTACTCCAAGAACTCGATGTTTTCCCAGAATAAAAGAATCAACAAATCAATAAAATTAATGATAGATTCTCTTGGATCTGAAATAATTAACAATTTAACAACCATCATGTTGAACAAATTATATATATTGCACCTCTGAAAACATGAAATCGGCAAGAAACGAGAAAATATCTAATCATCCACTATTCAGCAAAGCTAAATACTAGGAAAAAAAGTGGAAAATAAGTGGACTAAAGTATCTAAAGCTATTTCAGACTGACCTCCACTCAATCTTCAGACCTTAGTTCCCACAGGTTTGAAACAGTCGATGTTGCACAAAACAGCCGATCTCATCATATCTCCGAAGCTGTCATAATTAAATTCCAACAGTCAACGGAAAAAGAAACTTCTTGTGTAATAAGTCATATTGACAAAAAATATACGAAGATACACCATCTAATACGCACATACGTACACGTATACGTGTCTATTATATGTATATAAATATATATACGAGCGAAGAAACTTTTAGACATCTAAGTTGAGGCCAACCGATCTATACTGTTCCTCGCTTTCTCAGGCTGTTCTGTAACATTACTCGTCTTTTCAGACAACTCCATATTCTTTCTTGACCTTTCTCTCTTGTCAATGCTGGCCCTCGATTTCTCCCTTAGATCCGTGCTTACCCTAGGGTTTTCTCTATGATCTGTGCTCGATCGAGATTTCTCTCTCTGGTCCGTGCTTTGTCTTGGTCGACTATCAGCCATCAGATCGATAGATGGTACAGTTCCATTTCTCAGATGTCCCGATTTTTCTATAGCTGATACAAATTTCTTCAAGTGCTTAATATATTCTGGGTAAAGCTCGAGATTACAATGATTGCCGCCTTTAACCCATAAGGGCTCGTACTTTTCTTTACAGAGCTCCCATAGCTGCTTGCCATGAGAGCAATCTACTACGTCATCTTCAGTCCCCTGTTATCACATTAAAGAATATGTAATGATAGTTTGCAACGGTAACTCCTACACATAAACTGAGTTAAGCATCTTTTAATATTCACAAAGGTATAATTGGTTGTTGTTTTTGCATGTACTAGAATTGTAAATTGTGCTACGTGAAATGAAATCGTTTTTCTTTTAACTTATTATATATTAAACAACTAAATTTTCAATGGAATTAATCTGTTTGGTCAACCATATCTGCTCTGCGATTGTTTTTCTGTCTAAAGGCAAAGAACAATGGCTGATCACATTTAAGCGACTGCACACACACACACACACACACACACACACACACACACACACACACACACACACACACACACACACACGCACAATTATAGCAGGGAAAACATGTACTTCACAAACATAATCAAAGAACAGATATACAACGCAAATCATGTATGTGAGAACTTAGTCGAAGAGATAAAAGACTCACATGAATAACCAGGACGGGGCATTTGACCAGTGGGATTTTGTCAATATTCTGTATTCCACAATAAACAGTTGGTCGTGAAATATTGCGAAAATATGACAAAGAAGTGTGTTCTGCAATACTTGCATGAAATATTAATTTACCTTATAAATGTCGAACCAATATGTGCGCTTAACAGGATACATAACTCTAAGTCCAGAGAGAATTGGGCTGTGAAGAACCACACCCCTTAATCTAGACAAACGGGATGCTAAATCCAATGTGGGACCACTCCCAACAGACTGTCCGTATAATATTACATCTTCTTCTTTCACACCATAAGTCTCTTGAAGGCACTCGTACGCAGCTTCGATGTCGGCATAAGTATTCTGCTCACTTGGCTAAGAAAAAAGAATAACAGACACAAAAGTAAGCATTTTCTCCACTATAAAAGTCCCTCAAAACGAATAACCCCATCCCATTTCCCATACCTTGCCAGTTGACTTTCCGTACCCAGAATAGTCGTACCTGCAGAAAAGGGAAGTGAAAATCGAGAAATTTCAATCCTCATTTGCATCATTTTGTAACTATGCAATTAATTTAATTCGAGGTAAAAAGTCGAAATCTTTTTAGTGAATAAATAGATAAAGGGAATGCTCGATCATTCTAAACGACAGATTCACGTTTTATCTTGGTAACTAAAGAAAAGGTTTTAAGACTCTCTACCCGAGTCTACTCGGAAGAGGCAAAACGAGTAGCATCTCCAAACAGCAATTCCATATATGTAAGGACACTATAACTGTAACGATAACCAAATTTATCAACTAATCATAAATGCAACAGTGTCACATTTCATCAATATGTACTTTGTCCTTTCTTAACCAGATTAGTGATCACAATCAGTACTTTTAACTACAGGGAACAAACCCCTATTCCTCTGTCAAAAGCTGTATTTACTGTGTCTGAAGTAAGATCTCCACATCAGATTCCTCAAATCATAACAATTAAATTGGCCTACCAAATAATCGAAGTGTTTTCGTTCATAAAAATCAAATCTTCATCCATCATAAGAAACCACAGAGTCACGGACTACCAAAATTTATTCAAAAAAGTAAAAAAGAAAAGGCAAAATGTACGTATTGGGTAATTTGAAAAATACCCCATCAAGTTGACCCGGAGGTGGATGCTGAGTTCAATGAAGAGATCATACATTTGCCCTAGATCAGCGGCGTTGCCGTGGGAGTACAGAAGTGTCAGCTTCGCCGACGGATTCTTCACATACACCGCCACGATCTCCGTCCCCCTCTTCGATTTCACTTTCAAAACGTCGACGTTTTCGTTCTCCGCCACCTCCGTCATCTTCAGCTTCCCCGCCCCCTTCTCCACCGTCACCTCGTACGACGCCGGATCCGGTGGAAAAAACGCAAACTTCGCCGCCATCGACGACGTCACCGCCCCCATCGCAACCCAATTAACAACAACAAAAAAGAAATTACGCGCAGAGAAAAGTCAAATTAAAATTAAATTCCTTCCTCCCAAATGCAAAATTCGAACTTTTTTTGCGTTACAAATTGGATAGGTTACATAGAATTCCAGATTCAATTATTGAGCGTGGGGAATGTTATATAAAACGACAGATACACGAAAGCTGTATGTATATATATATGTGTATTTGTGCTGCGTGTGTGCGTTTTTTTGAGAGAGAGAGAGAGAGAGGGGGGGGAAATTAGAAAGGGAGGAATTTCCGGCGTTAAACTGGATTTCGGCACGTGCGATGCGAGGTTAAAAAATAGTCGGAGGGGTGTACGGTAATCCCCTACACCGTGCTCTCCGACCCAAAATCGTGTTTCTCCCCCCCACACTCTAAAAAGCGTGTTGTTTAAACTAGCGATATTAAAGAGTAACTGAAGGAAACTTCTGACACGTGGGTGTCTGAGTGTACGGAGTTTTGGTGCTGCTTGAGGTGACGGTTGAGCTGGACTCTCTTGGGACCTTCTTGGACAGGTGGCCTTACATTTATTTAAATTTTGTTATTGGAAATGTTTTTTTTTTTTTTCTTTTTTTCATAATTAGTGTGTGTGTTTTGTGTGTGGGGGTCTCCACCTCTCTACATGAACTTTTGCTATCTTGTCCAATCAAATAATAATCGATAATTGGTTTAATTTATTTAATATTGATTAACTTTTGGGAAAATTCCAAAATTCTATCTTGTAGTAATATAAGCTCTTTGATATGAGAGGCATCTCACTCCATTTTCTTTAATTTAAAATATTATACGAAATTTTAGATATTTTTTAAAGATATATGTAGTCAGATGTAGTCAGATATATTATTTAGAAATTATAGTATAGTGTTAGTAATAACTCGCAATGCATGTTCGATGGACTCACCTAAAAAGCGTTAGCAGAAAAAATTGAACTTTAAATAATATTTCTAGAAAATAGTGTATTATTAATTATATTCATAAAATGAGTGTCTAATAAATCTATCCGTTTCTCTTAAAAAAAAAAGTTTTGTCAAATAATAAATTTAACATAAATTCATGAATTTAATGTCCCATCAAGTGGAAGTGCAAGAAAATTTTCAAAATTTGAAAATCTCCAAAATAAAAAGTGGCTTATTCAAATAATACTTTTTTTTTTTAAATAATCATTTAACAAGTGGCACTTTTATGTGTATAGACTACCTTATCTATAATTCTAAAAATATTTTTCTCAAACATTTTCATAAATGAATTTCCAATTTCTATGGAACGCACAAAATAAAATGTTGCAATAAACGTTGTTTTCCTGTCTCACATAAATTTCAATAACACCATGTTTTCTTGTCTCATAATTTCAATAATCATTTCCAAAAATGAAAATAAAATTCAATTTTAGTTAAGGTTTATTTTGTAATTTCACCAGCCATAATTATTATTTGGGCCCAGCTCCTTATTAAAATTCGGACCAGCTGCTCTGGCCCAACTTCTTTTAAATTTAATTTGCCAGTCCAGCCCTTCTTCCTAACCCAATTCCAAACCAGGAAACGACGTCGTTTAATATCTTCCCATATTCCCAATTCAATTCAATTCGCCGCCGCCGCCTGAACCGCCGTGGGTAACGACATGCTAGTAATTAGGTCAGCACAGATTTTGATAAAATTTCGGAATCTCAATAAATATTCCTCAAAAGCTCTGCCTCCGTACACATGGAGGACAACTGTATGTCTGTATGAACAGGTACGTATCTCTATTGCCATGCTCATGTTCATTTGATTTTTTAACTTTTTATAATTTAATTAATCTGAATTTTCTCATAATCAAGAAAACATTTGATGGGGGGACACAGCATTGGTAATCGTAGTATTCACTTTCTCTCCACATGTTTTCTCCCTCTTTTTAAGAGCTTTACCTTTGAATTCACACACTAATTCCTCGCCTTTCAAATTTAATTATTCGGTAAATTACGGCCACCATGAGCTAAAATTAAATTACGAAAAAAACATGGTCTGTTTGGATAATTATGAAATTTTGCTACACCTTCGTCCAGCGCCCTCTATTTCGGTACAGGGTGGGCTTCAATTTTCGGAGTTCGAGAGCAGCGCCCCGATATTTATTTGAAAATAGGAAAAGGAGAAACGGAAAAAAAAAAAATTAGAGTTCTTTTGCATTAATTTGGATTTTTTTGGGACTTCTTTTACATTAATTTGAATTTTGTGTGGGCTAATTAATAAAATATAGAGCTTCTTTGCATTAATTAAAATTTTGGGTGGACTAATTAATAAAATTTGGGTGGGCTAAATAGAAATATAGTATAATATAGGGGGGAAATTGCAAAATGAGGGTGGACTTGCCCCTACGTTTGTCCTTTTGGTGTCAAATTCAACAAAATCTTCTAGGTTCTGTGGAGTGTTCTTTAGTTTGTACTCGTTTTGTGCAAAGATACAATTTCTAATGAATCACAATCTGATATTTACAAGTCAAAAAACACGTCTTACGATCATCTTGTTTCGAAATGTGGAGCTCGAAATTGATAAAACGTGTACAAATTTGAGAATATTCCACTAAATTTGACACTATAAGAGTGGACGAGTAGATTCATAGTTGAGGGGTTGTTGTAATTACTCAAATATGAGGATTTTTTTTCGTAATTTAACATTAGTTCAGGGGTGGCCGTATTTTACCCTTTATTAATATCTGCCAATGGAACCGACTAATTAGGCAGACCACAGTACACCACCACACACACTGATTTAGGGGTGAGTTCGGGACGGGATTTCGGGAATTCGGGATTTTCGGGATCGGGATTTCGGGATTCGGGATAGAAATTTTAAATCCCAATCCCGTCCCAAACTATTAAATCCCGGTTATATCGGTATCCCTAAATATTTCGGGAATCGGGATTGGGATCGGGAAATCCCATATTTTGCCTAAAAACTAAGAAATATTGCATCTTTTCTCCATTAGTATTATTTTATACACTAAACCAACTTGAATATATTATATACATACTATTGTTCTTGTCTTATTTATTTTTACCACAAAACTTGGAACAAATAAAATTTTAAATTTTTTAAAATAAGTTGAAACAATATATTTTATATTGTATTTCTCATCTCCTTGACACTATATATATATATGAGAGGGACGTTA